TCCAGATTAACCCACAGGCCTGCTGGCTAGTACAAGCAGACAGGTACTTTTGTACCATTTGGCTTTTTTTAAAATATTTTGCAATTTTTACTTTTGGACTTTTTCTATTCTCATTTTTTTTTTTGGTTTTAAATTTTAGTTTAATACACATTTTGGCTGCATAATGGTTATCCAAGGATAATTTCTTTTTTATAAAATTTACATCACACATTTTGGCTTATTGTAACTGGCTGTTACCTTAGATTTTAAGAAATGATATGATAACCATTTAATATTGAAAATAAAAACTACAAATTCAAAATTGACTCAATACTAAAAAAAATTCCATGTTTCATGTCAAAAAGTTTTTATCATCTTTTCAGTGTTGAAATTTTTATTCTTCCAATCCCGGTACTTCATGATTAAAAATTTTGTCATCAGCTAACAAATTTTACAGGTTGATATGGATTAGAGAGAAATGGAAGGAGGGAGAAATAGGAAGAATTGAGAGGGTGAGTGTACATAATGAGAGTGGTATGTAGAGATGTTTGTTCTGTGGGGAGAAAAAGGAAGAATTGAGAGGATGAGGGTAATGTTGAGAGAGGAATGTAAAGAAGCAAGTGTGAGAGGGAGTGAAAAAGTGAATGTTAATTTCTTTGAAAGGGCTTGATGTACTGGACTAATGGAAGTGCAGTTTTCTCTTTTCTCTCCTGTAGTTTCTATTTTCTTCAGAAATCTCTGAATATTTTACATTCTGAAATTACTGCTGTCTAAAAAATTATAAGTTAACAGCCTTTCTTGTTACAGATTATGTGCTGCTTTTAAGTAAATATTGTAGCACTTCTCGGTGACTAGATTGGGGTGCAGCTTTTCATCAATTTTAACAGCATCCTCTAACAGTTATATATGCAGAGATACGAACACTTACACTTTATGAATGGTTTTTTCGTTCCGAGAAATTTTGCTTTCCAGTCTTTTCAAATGCATGCTCAGCATCTTTTTATAATTTTCTTGGTCTTAGTTGTGCATCTTTGCTGTTTATTATTCATTCTCATCATATGGGTTTTATGTCAGTCTTAAAAAATTTGTAATTTTTTCTGCAAATTTCTACCAATTACAAGAAAACAAAATGGGTTACTAAGACATTCTCCTGTGGTAGTGTTCGCCTCGTTAAAGGAGGTTCTCAGTATTTGAAGCATAACAGAGTCGAACTAGACATTAAAGTTGGTCTATGCTGCTATTTCACTTAACACGCTGCATTAAGAAGAAACAGCAAAGACTGGTCGGCTAGCTTGGAGTCAGAAAATGTGTCCGGGTAGGGTGACACATTTTCCTGCTGGCTGTTACTATCTTGTGAACCAGCATTATAAAATCCAGCCCAGCGTGTTGCCCTAGAACAAAGAAGGGTCTTAAGAGAAATTTGTCATAGCAAATATGATCAGGAGGACAAGAGCTAAAAAATGATCAGTAAAACAATATCTACAAATATTTCAACAAAGGTGAAATTGTAAGTTCTCTTCTGATAGAAGTTATTGCCTTTGAATGACAGTGATTGCGAAACCCATCAATTTTCTTTTGATACATTTGGTATTTGGGAACACACATGGAAATGGCTTTTCATCCTGACAAGTGTAATGTTCTGTCCATCAGCCGATTTAAAGATCCATGCATACACGCCTACTCTTTAAAAGGCCACATACTTGAACTTGTTGACATACCCAGGAGTGACAATTCAATCATACCTTAAATGGCACAGTCAAATAAACAGCATGTGTAATAAGGTTCACAGCACACTAAGTCTGGGTTTTCTCCGAAGGAATTCTAACATCAGTTCCACCTTAGTAAAGGAACAGGCATAACCATGTTTGACTTCTATGTCATTTGGTCTCTGGTGGAGAGTTGTCTCATTGGCAATTATATCACATCTTCTTATTTTTAAATTAACATGTTTAACCCCCCCCCTCTCCCCACATGCTTTATGTGTCTATCCCCTATCACAAGTCAGGAGCCTGTAGTTCAGTGGTTGTCGTTGGTTCATGTCTGTCATATTTGTTTTTTGCTAATTGTTTTGATATAAATTAGTCCGTTAGTTTTCTCAATGGAATTGTTTCAAATTTTTCATGTTTGGGCCTTTTATAGCCGACCTTATACGGTCTAGTCTCATTGGCAATTATAACACATCTCCTTATTTTTATACATATAAATCTTTAGTCAGACCATCAGTAGAATGTGCCTGATCAGCCTGGGACCATTACTTTACTGAGGATATACATAAATTAGAAAAAAGTACAAAAAAGGGCGGCTTGATTTGCCACTAACCGACATAGAAACATCTCAAGTGTTAGTGAAATGATAAAACCATCTAAAATGGAGAGACCTTTCACACAGAAGAACAGATGCACTCCTTGTCATGTTCTATAAAATTTCGGATCATCTAATTGCTATCGCAAAAACAGACTAATACAACCGCTCAGACAGTACCGAAACATGGACCACTCTCATACCAGATTCCCTCTGCAGAACATAAATACGCCAACAATATTTTTTTCCACGTACTATTAAAACCTAGAACAGCCTTCCACTGAGCACTGTGATGAGCGACTCTGTAGAGTCGTTCAAAGCAGCTGTCTCAACTTACACCTATAACGTCACCGTACCCAAATTGCATCCACTTTGCAAACAAGCAGAGACAATCTTATAGGTTTTCATAGTGACTAAACAATTCGTATTTTTATAATTTGCCATTACACACGTCTGTCAACATAGCTAAATATGTGTATATTTTGCGTAAGCAAATCTTGGACACACAGAATCTGTATTTTAATGAGATTGTAAAAATATATACTATTTGAAAATGTTGGAATTAATTTTGTTCATAATTCTTAAATTATTTTCACTGTAAATACGTCTCAACTAAGCCATGCGTAGTACAAGTGACATAAACTTGAACGTGTTGAAGATGAAACCAGTCTCATAAACTTAATGATAAGAAAAGCCACACAAAGGATTGTAACAACAGGTCACTAAAACCCAACACTAATTACCCACACCTTCATTACTTCTTTGGCAACTCACTTGACGACACAGGTCTAACCCAAATTGTTGATGTCCCTACACGAAGACAATATCCTTGATCTGATCATTACAAACTTACCAAACCAAGTACAACGTGTTGAAGTAATAACCAGTCTATCTGATCATGATATTGTGATTACTGAATTTGCAAAAACTCCATCAAAACTCAAACAAAAGCAAAGAGTAATTCCATTATACAAAAAAAAGAAAACTGGATCACAATAAAACAAGGAATAAACACCTCATAGAAACATCTCATTGAAAGCCAGCTTAGTTACTATGATGTATAAATGAAATGTGGAACAGTTTTAAAACAATAATACTAAAACTAGTGAAAGATCACATTGCACATAAAACAGAAAAATCAAAGGATGGACACCCATGGATCACAATGGAAACAAAAAGGCTCACAGGAAAGAAGAATAGGCTTTATAAAAAATCGAAAAAATCCGGGAATCCAAAATTTACTAAAAATACAAAGAGGTTAAACGCCAGGAACAGAAACTTAAATGGAAATCATATTGGGAATACATTGGAAATATCATATTACCACCACAAGATGAAACAAATTTTGGCAATATGAAAAAATTTTGGACTTACATAATAATTAAACATAAAAATACTGATTATAATGATATTACTGAAATTAAACAAGATGGCAAACTCCTAACAGATCCACTACAAACAGCTGGTGCAGTTAACACACAATTTCGATGTATATTCACACCGGCAACCAATATCTCCCATACATAATTTGTCAAATAAACACTTTTACAAAACTTAAACCCAAACAAGGCAAGCAGGACCAGATGAAATTAAACCAAGATGTTTAAAAGAACTTTCACATGAAATTGCACCGATACTTACCATCATCTTTGAGAAGTCAGTTAAAACAGGTATTGTTCCAGATGACATTACTTCAATTCATAGATGATTTTTCACTTAACATGGAAAACGGTAAACAAACAGATATTTTGGTCATGTATTTCTCAAAAGCATTTGAAAAAGTTTCATGTTCTCTTCTAAATTAACAAACTTCAGGGATACAGTGGGAATTAAATTTGTGGATACAAAATTTCTTAAGCAATCGCAAGCAGACATTACTTTTAGAGGGGAAAAATTCTGAGTATGGCACTCTAAGCTTTCTAAGGAGGAACCTGAATATTACTGAGCTCAACATCCATTAAAGAGTAGGCATACAAGTTCTAAGTAAGACCATCACTAGAGTATGCTTGCTCTGTTTGGGACACTTACTTACAACAAGACATATATAGCATTGAAAATAGTTGAAAGGAGGCGGATGCCCGTTTTGTAAACGGCAACAAATACGGAAACACCTCAAGCGTTTGTAACACGTTACAACACCTTGAATAGCGCAATTTCTCTCAGTGACAGAAGAAAAGATTCGCAATTGGTAATGCTATATAAGATTAAACACGAAAAGGTTGCATCTAGACTGCCCCTGGTTGCATGAATACCTAAAAACGGCAATAAATTATTTCCACAATAAAGACAACAAGACATTCAAATTCGAACAGTTTCCAAATTCCATCCTGAAAAACACAGTACAGATTTTTTTTCCCGAGATTAATAACCGACTGCAGCAAACTAACCGATAACTTCATAAATTGCACATCGGTAGACTCTTTCAAACTCTTCAATTTCAAAAACATCAATATTAAACTCAACTATTCACATCAAACTAATTGTACATTTGTATTTCTCATTTTTCCCCTACTTTTAATTTGTAAATATATTAATCTATGTCTTGTTGTAAGTTATCCTCCTGTGACATAATCTTCAATTTGTTGAAGGCGGTCACTATATGGTAGAAGTAAAAGGAGACGAAGTAACTAGAAGATCTGGTACGAGTTTTCTTCGGACCGAGTTAACCATATTCCCGGTCCCAGCATATTATCCTTAATTTCCTTCCCCCTTACTTCTATTCCCCTGATTTTTCCGGGAAACTTGAAAACAACAACAATACAAACAAACATTTTTAATGACAAACTGAATGTCACATTTAACTCAAACTCCAATCAAAACTGGCATAAATGTTCCGATTGGTCATTTGATAGTAAATCCGAAATGGAAAAATTCAGATTTATCAACGACTTTGCAAAGTATGTAATAATTTATTTTTAACAGGTCAGGAATAACCACCAATTGGTGGATTATACCTCAATTGACGTATAATCCACCAATTGACATATATTGGTATAGACCAATTGACGTATAATGCAAGTTTTTTGTTATAAAATGCTAGTGTGAGATAGGAGCATCATTTTGCAGCTTACAACCTATTTTATGACCATTATTGAGTCCTCCGAAAGTTTCAGTTTTGTCAAAGCCTGCTGCATCTCTTGAGAATGCATGTGTACAACAATTCTTTTGTTGAAACATCTACTATTGACCATGATTGACTTTTAATAATGAAAGTCAAGTATTAACAAAGAACTCCATTCACCTGTGGAGTTGTACTCATAATCACATGACTGCAGACAGTATTGTTGATGTCCATTGACAGGTGATTTAAGTGGTAAATTTGCCAATCAAGAATTGACAAGATAACAATAGAAGAAACTGCAAATACAATTATTGATTAAATGCAATATGTATTGTCACTATACTAAACTAGGAATGTTTGACATGTTTTCATACAATAATATGGTTTTAAGAAAACAATGCTCCATTTTGGTTGAATAATTTGCTTTGAAAAACAAAGAATTATACGTCAATTGGTCTATACCATTATATGTCAATTGGTGGATTATACATCAATTGAGGTATAATCCACCAATTGGTAGTTATTCCTGACCTGTTTAAGTAGCTGCGGAACCGTAGCTCCTATGGTCCTTGTGATATTTTTTTATCATGGTCTGCAAATTGTCAAAAAATACCATAAGGACCATAAGAGCTTCGATCACGCAGATAGTATTTAAGCCATACGTTCCAATCAGTTACGCAGTTTAAATCACCAATTGTGCAGATTCTTTTGTCCATGTCAATCAAAACAGTTTGCTACCTTTATTATACGAGGGGATCTTCTCAAACATCTTTCCGAACTTTATTTATTTTGACACCTACACGAACAAAAAAAATGCATAGCTGATATCCAGTTAAGTTTATGTAATATTCGGAAACTTAAAATTCATTTAATGAATATAAACAGTTAGTGATGATGTTGCCTGAAAATTAGGATGAGAACAATATTTTTGTTATTGTTGTTGTGCAGGCATGCAGTAATGCAGCTTTTTACTTTTTCCTTATAGGATTATTGCCCTTAAATGATGATTTTAATCAATTTTTGGCATTATAGTTATTTTGAAAACTGTAGTAATAGAAACATTTGTAGAAACTTTGAATAGCAAAAATGATCCACAAGCATGACAAGACCAGATCTACAAATAAGTCAACATTGTTGGTCGTCTTTTTATAGAAGTTTAATATTTCCTTTAAATGACCATGATGACAATATTTATCAATTTTGGGTTTTCTTGTCTATTATCTTGAAAACTATAATAGATAGATAGAAACTTTATAAGCAAAAATGACGAGCAGGACAAGATCTGCAATATTTCAAGATTCCCGAAATTGTTAATCACTTCTTGATTGGAGTTATTGCCTTTTAATGATGATTTTTACCCATTTTTGCATTTTTTGGGAAAACTTTGGTGAATAAAAAAAATTGTATACAGCAAAAGTGATCAGCATGACAAGATCATCAAAAAAATTGTGTAGTCCTGAATTATATTCTAGACTACAATATTGGATAGTGGTGCAAAAATGTATCCTGGTTAGTGACACAAGCTCTTTAGAGCCTCTATTTTTTATTCTTTTGTATTGAAAAAAAAAAAAACTTTTGACATCAAAATATCTAATATGATCTACATATATTTATCAAAGGGTACATTGCATCTCATTACTAATTTCAGGCAGTATTCAAGTTTTGTATGATGACAACTTGGGTATGGTAGATTTTTACCCATCACCAAATACTGGAGTTGTGTACATCACAGAAGCTGAACTTGTCTCAAACAGTTATAGGAGAAGATTGGCAAAGCTAAGAAAGGTAAAAACAAGTAACCTCAACAGTTATAGGGCCTTGTGATCTATTGCCATCTATTTGTGTCTGTCGTCTGTAACCTTTTCTTCAAAAAATCTTCTCTGAAACTACTCAATGAATTGAAAAAAATTGTGTCTGCTTTATCTACAGGATGTCTACTTTATATTTGTGATTTTTGTCCAGGTTGATTAACCAATATAGCCACTGTGACTAAAAAATTCCTCTGAAATGTTGATTTCTAGCTCACCTGGTCCAAAGGGCCAAGGGAGCTATTCTCATCACTTGGCATCTATTCATTGTCGTTATTGGTCTTATATGACAATTTTTACAATTTTTTTAAAAAATTTTATACGACCGCAAAAAAATTTTGCGGTCGTATATTGGTATGACGACGGCGTCGTCGTCTTCCAAAGACACATTGGTTTTCGCACTCTAACTTTAGTTTAAGTAAATGGATCTCTATGAAATTTTACCATAAGTTTCAATACCACAAAAGGAAGGTTGGGATTGATTTTGGGGGTTATGGTACTAACAGTTAAGGAATTAGGGGCCAAAAAGGGGCCAAAAATAAGCATTTTTGTAACTTCCAGACATAACTTGTGTGTTAGTGTATGGATCTCTCTGACATTGTACCACAAGGTTCCATATCACAAAGGGAATGCTGGGATTGATTTTGGGGGTAATTACCTCAAAATTTTAGGAATTAGGGCAATGTAGGGGCCAAAAAATGGGCAAAAAACAAGCATTTTTCTAGTTTCATGATAATAACTTGTGTGTAAGAGTATGGATCTTTCTGAAATTGTTCTACAAGGTTCCATATCACAAAGGGAAAGCTGGAATTGAGTTTGGGGGTAATTGCCCATAACGTGTAGGAATAAGGGACCAAAAAGGGGCCAAAAATAAGCATTTTTGTAACTTCCAGACATAACTTGTGTGTTAGTGTATGGATCTCTCTGAAATTGTACTGCAAGGTACCATACCACAAAGGAAAGGCTGGGATTGATATTGGGGGTAATTGCCTCAAAATTTTAGGAATTAGGGACCAAAAAGGGGAAAAAAACAAGCATTTTTCTAGTTTCAGGACAATAACTTGTGTGTAAGTGTATGGATCTTTATGAAATTGTACTACAAGGTTCCATATCACAAAGGGAAAGCTGGGTTTGAGTTTGGGGGTAATTGCCCTAAACGTTTAGGAATTTGGGGCCAAAAAGGGGCCTAAAAACAAGCATTTTTCTAGTTTCCAGACAATAATTTGTTCAAGTGTATGGATCTCTCTGAAATTGTACTGCAAGGTACCATACCACAAAGGGAAGGCTTGGATTGAGTTTGGGGTTGATGAATCATAAGGGGTTCAAAAAATTTGGGGGAGGGATTTTTTTTCCCTTTTTTTCCTTTTTTTTTCTTTAAAATTTTCCATTTTAAATTGGTTATTTCTGATTTATATATAAAAGCAAATAATAAAGATACGGTTTGAATAGGTAAATTAAAAATGTTTAAGTTCTTAGACCACATTCATTCTGTGTCAGAAACCTATGCTGTGTCAAATATTTAATCACAATCCAAATTCAGTGCTGTATTAAGCATGAATGTTGTGTCCATACTTGCCCCAACTGTTCAGGGTTTCTACCTCTGCGGTCGTATCAAGCTGCGCCCAGCGGAGCATTTTATTGCCTGTTATCTTGAAAACTATTATAGATAGATGGAATTTTTAAATAGCACAAAAGACCAGTAAGACATGATCTTCAAAAAGGTCAACTTGGCCGAAATTGTCACCCCTAAAATGACAATTTTTACAAATTTTTTGTGTTTTTATACGAACAAGTATAATGGTATGATGTCATCGTCGTCTGCATTACCGTCCGAATACACATTGGTTTCCGGACAATAACTTTAGTTTAAGTGAATGGATCTTTATGAAATTTTTTCAGAAGGTTCAATACCACAAAAGGAAGGTTGGGATGGATTTTGGGGATGATGGTCCCAACCGTTTAGGAATAAGGGGCCCGAATAGGGGCCCAAAACAAGCATTTTTCTAGTTTCCAGACAATAACTTGTGTTCAAGTGTATGGATCTCTCTGAAATTGTACTGCAAGGTACCATACCACAAAGGGAAGGCTTGGATTGAGTTTGGGGTTGATGAATCATAAGGGGTTCAAAAAATTTGGGGGAGGGATTTTTTTTCCCTTTTTTTCCTTTTTTTTTCTTTAAAATTTTCCATTTTAAATTGGTTATTTCTGATTTATATATAAAAGCAAATAATAAAGATACGGTTTGAATAGGTAAATTAAAAATGTTTAAGTTCTTAGACCACATTCATTCTGTGTCAGAAACCTATGCTGTGTCAAATATTTAATCACAATCCAAATTCAGTGCTGTATTAAGCATGAATGTTGTGTCCATACTTGCCCCAACTGTTCAGGGTTTCTACCTCTGCGGTCGTATCAAGCTGCGCCCAGCGGAGCATTTTATTGCCTGTTATCTTGAAAACTATTATAGATAGATGGAATTTTTAAATAGCACAAAAGACCAGTAAGACATGATCTTCAAAAAGGTCAACTTGGCCGAAATTGTCACCCCTAAAATGACAATTTTTACAAATTTTTTGTGTTTTTATACGAACAAGTATAATGGTATGATGTCATCGTCGTCTGCATTACCGTCCGAATACACATTGGTTTCCGGACAATAACTTTAGTTTAAGTGAATGGATCTTTATGAAATTTTTTCAGAAGGTTCAATACCACAAAAGGAAGGTTGGGATGGATTTTGGGGATGATGGTCCCAACCGTTTAGGAATAAGGGGCCCGAATAGGGGCCCAAAACAAGCATTTTTCTAGTTTCCAGACAATAACTTGTGTTCAAGTGTATGGATCTCTCTGAAATTGTACTGCAAGGTACCATACCACAAAGGGAAGGCTTGGATTGAGTTTGGGGTTGATGAATCATAAGGGGGTTCAAAAAATTTGGGGGAGGGATTTTTTTTCCCTTTTTTTCCTTTTTTTTTCTTTAAAATTTTCCATTTTAAATTGGTTATTTCTGATTTATATATAAAAGCAAATAATAAAGATACGGTTTGAATAGGTAAATTAAAAATGTTTAAGTTCTTAGACCACATTCATTCTGTGTCAGAAACCTATGCTGTGTCAAATATTTAATCACAATCCAAATTCAGTGCTGTATTAAGCATGAATGTTGTGTCCATACTTGCCCCAACTGTTCAGGGTTTCTACCTCTGCGGTCGTATCAAGCTGCGCCCAGCGGAGCATTTTATTGCCTGTTATCTTGAAAACTATTATAGATAGATGGAATTTTTAAATAGCACAAAAGATCAGTAAGACATGATCTTCAAAAAGGTCAACTTGGCCGAAATTGTCACCCCTAAAATGACAATTTGTACAAATTTTTTGTGTTTTTATACGACCAAGTATAATGGTATGATGTCATCGTCGTCTGCATTACCGTCCGAAGACACATTGGTTTCCGGACAATAACTTTAGTTTAAGTGAATGGATCTTTATGAAATTTTTTCAGAAGGTTCAATACCACAAAAGGAAGGTTGGGATTGATTTTGGAGATGATGGTCCCAACCGTTTAGGAATTAGGGGCCCGAATAGGGGCCCAAAACAAGCATTTTTCTAGTTTCAGGATAATAACTTGTGTATAAGTATTTTGATTGCTCTGAAATTGTACCACAATGATTAATACCACTAGTAGAAGGTTGGGATTCATTTTAGGGGTTATGGGGCTAACAAGGGGCCAAAAACAAGCATTTTTCTAGTTTCCAGACAATAACTTGTTTGTAAGCGTATGGATCTCTCTGACATTGTAACACAAGGTTCCATATAACAAAGGGAAGGCTGGGATTGAGTTTGGGGTTAATTGCCCTAAACATGTAGGAATTAGGGGCCAAAAAAGGGCCAAAAACAAGCATTTTTCTAGTTTCCAGACAATAACTTGTGTGTAAGTGTATGGATCTCTCTGAAATTGTACTACAAGGTTCCATACTACAAAGGAAAGGCTGGGATTGAGTTTTGGGGTTATTGCTCCAAGGGGGGTTTCAAAAAGTTGGGGGGGGGGGGGAATTTTTTTCCCAATTTTTTTTAAGGGATTCATATTTTTTTTTCAAAATTTTTAAAACTTTCGAATTTTTGTAAAGTTTCAAGAAGAAATCTTCAATTGCACAGTATTGCGCAATGGATTTATAAGATCTTTGACCACATTTATTTTGTGTCAGAAACCTATATTATGTCAAAAATTTGATTACAATCCAAATTCAGACAGTATCAAGCTTGAATATTGTGTCCAAATTTGCCCCATCTGTTCAGGGTTCGACCTCTGTGGTCGTATCAGGCTGCGCTCAGCGAAGCATTTTATTAAAAACTATTATAGATAGATTGCAATTTGAAAAGCAAAGATGATCAGCAAGACAAGATCTACTATTGAGTCAGCATGGATGAATTTTTCAGCCAACTCCTTATATGAGTTATTTCCCTTTAATGAAGATTTTTATCACTTTGTTTTGCGTTTTTGCCTGTTATCTTGAAAACTGTTAGAGGTAAATAAAAACTTCATAAAGCAAACATGATCAGCAAGACAAGATCTGCATGATAGATGAAATTGTCAGTTGTCTTCTTATAGGAGTTATTGCCCTTAAATGACAACTATTTTTACCATTTTTGTGTTTTTTCAAAAACTTTAGAAGATAGAGAGAAAATGTAAACAGAAAAATGATTAGCAAAATAAGATCAACTAAAAAGAGATTTAAGTTATGAATTATATTCTAGTCATAAATGTTGGAGATTGGTCATTGTTAAAGATGCCACATTGACTAAGGTGAGTGACATAGGCTCTTTAGAGCCTTGAGTTAATTCTTTTGGTAAGTTCTTGGCTATTTCTTTAAAAACGTTAGTAGAAATCGCAAAAGTGATCAAGATGACATGTTCTAATTACGCTAAAAATTTCAGAAAAATCAGAGTGTGATACAGGCAAGTGAGGTCTCTTAAGATTGCATGTTTACAACAGACAAAAAGAAAACCTTTTCAGCTCTCTTCCCTATATGTTGCCATGTGAGCTATTTCCATCATTTTCATCTGTTGTGGCCCACTGTCATCTCCCAACGTCATAGATTAAAAAAAATAGATGAATTATAATCTTTATTTAAAATAGATAACTACATTGGTCACAACTGATCTTCCTAAGGGTGCTAAAAAAATACAAATTAAAAAAGTAATAAGAATTAATAGAATGATTCATTCATATATGTAGTGTAAGATATCTTATTTATTGTTCATTGCAGTTTAAGTTATTGGCTTTTGATAATTAGAGCATGGGTGCAGTTCCACTAAAGAATGTGTCGCATACGATGGAAGATGACCTCTGACCTTGACCTTCTTCAGAACTGTTTACATCCCCACCCTAAACCAAATATATTCTGAACTGCCATGACAAGACCTTTTAAGTGCACTATAGATTTAGTATGTGGTGAGTTTTGGGGGGTCATACACCACCCGCCTCATATCATCAATTGTTTAACATATAGAAAACAGTGACGATTCCCCCCTCCCATTAATCAAGTAGATATTTTTTTTTGCCATGACAGTACCTAAATTTGGGCCTTGGTGGTTGAGTGGTCTAAGTAGTCAAACTACTGTATCACTAGCCTGTCAACACTGAGGTTGTGAGTTGGAATCCCACACTTGGCAGGTGTGCTAGACTCCAATCTTCATTGACTAGGATTGTCAGTTTTCCTACCACGGTGGTTTCCCCCAGCTTCCCCCACCAATAAAAACAACTGACTGCCACGAAATAGCACAATAGTGCTGAAAGTGGCGTTAAACACCAATCAATCAATTAGTACCTAAATTTGTTTGTAAGGCTGTTCCTTTACAGGAGTGACTTTTAAACATGACGGGGAGAAATTACTTTAGTTCACTAAAACAGTTCCACCGAGTTTTTGTTTCATTTGAATACCCCATTTATTACCACAGAAAAGAATTTCATCACTTTAGACAAAACTATAACATTTTTATTTAGTGCTATTCATTGTTTGAACATATTTCATATTCTTCAATGTCAAAGCCTTCCTGGATTTTACAAGTGACGTATACTGTCATCTCTATTAAAACGTCACATCTTTCATACTACACTTGGCTTTAATCCATCAAAATGCATCATTAGTTCTCACCATGGATAATAAAATAGTAGCAAAATTAAAACTTTATGCATTTGTTGGTCTTTTAGAGATATGTGATATTTGTGAGAAAACTGAAGGCAAGGTAGAGTGGAGCCTTAGATCCTATTGAAAGGTCACATTAAAATGTTACAGTTGATTGGAAATAAAAACAGGGCATTGTGGCATAGCATCATTATTTAATACATGACTGGAATCATTGAATGTATTAATAAATTAATGCATTTGATTATAATTTATTTGAAAATCATGTCAGTTATAATAAATATTTCAAGTACCCGAAAATAATTGCTCTAATTTGTTATTTCAAATTAAAATTTACTTTTTGATTATCCTCATTTGCAAACACATCACCTATTCAGATTTTTATCTAATTTATCATCCTAAATCAATTCTATTTCACATAGTGAAGAGATTGGGCAGGATTGGACCAGGTTACAGCTGACATTCAATTACAAACAGTTGAATTCAATATTTTGTTTTATAACAGACATGAAGACACATTAATATGACAGGGGAGATAACAAAAACTAATTATCAGTATATCTTTTGTTTTATATTATAGGCTAACAACAAACATTTTTGTCCCCCGCATAACGCATTGCGGGGGACATAGAAATACCTCCGTCCGTCTGTGTGTCCGTCCATCCGGTCTTGTTAGCGCTCTCGCAGCTACAATTTGTGCCAAATTTTTATAAAATTTATACTATAGGTTAATATCAGCAATATCTTGGACAAATTCTATTATGGTCGAGGATCGACTTTTTTTTAAAGAGTTATGCCCTTTGGAAATATTAAATTTATGGAAAATGGCCTCGTTAGCGCTCTCACAGGTACAATTCTTGCCAGATTTTCATAAAACTTATACTATAGGTTAATATCAGCAATATCTCAGACAAGTTATATAATGGTGGACGATCGACTTCTTTTTAAAGAGTTATGCCCCTTGGAAATATTCAATTTATGGAAAATGGCCTCGTAAGCACTTTCATGGGTTCAATTCCTGCCAGATTTTTATAAAACTTATACTATAGGTTAATATCAGCAGTATCTCTGTCAAGTTCTATAACGATCGACTTTTTTTAAAAGAGTTATACCCCTTGGAAATATAAAATATGTGCAATGCTGGGGACATTGGAACTCTGTTTTTTTATACCTATTGTTGTAATAGAGAGAGGAACATGTATCAGTAGTGGTAAACATTTAAGACATCTATCATTCATATATAAAAAAAAAAACCAAACAAACACCAGCGAATCGATATACTACAGCTACTAAAACAAAATCTGTTGTGATAGGAGAGGAGAGAGAATAACTAGTAGTTTGTGTATAAATATAAAAACAAGATAGCTTGTAATTGGAGAGAAAACTTCAACCAGTTGTCAGTATTTGCTAGTAGTTAGACCTTTTTATTTGTACTATTTCAGGCCAATAAGATACCTATTGTTGTGATCGGAGAAAGAACTGGAACTAGCAGTCAGTATTTTTGTCCCCTTCAGAAGTTCTGTGTCATGGAACTTGGATTTTCATTGATCCCAGTCCCTTCACAGAAGGAGGCAGGAACATTTCTAGCTCAAATGGTTAGTATAAATACCAGAATAGTGTTAATTTCTGCCAACATGAAAGTGTTCCTGTTTACTTGAATTTTTTATGCTATAGTTTCAACTTTTACCTGTTTTCATATTTAAAAGATTTTGTTCCAAATTATCTCAGACACTGAAAATATTTGGTATTGGGTTTTCTCCCTATCAAGATTAAATGAATTGGTCCTGGGACACAGTTGTCATCCTTTTATTTTAGTTGTCTACAAATAGAGTCCCTAGTGTGGACAGTGTATAACTTGCAAATTTTTTTCATATACCCTCCAAATTTATTCCTTTATATTTTATGCAAAAAAATAGTAAGTAGGGGGATGAAATAACATGTAAAAAAAATTTGGGGCATGAATTTTTAGGTAAAGTAGTGATTTGTTCCAGTTTGAAAAGGTCAAAAATTAGTATGTCTGAAGCTGTCAAACTGTATTACAGACCCCCTTAACATAAAATTGTCCATATTTTAAGTTAGAGCCGATAGACTTTTCTATAATTTTGATATAATTTGTCCCAAAAGTAGTACACTACATTGTCAAAATCCTTTTTGGATAGAGCAGGTGCGATATTTTTTTTGTCTTAAAGAAATGCACTCCAAAATAACGGTGTTCTCAGTCCAATTGTAACATAAGGTTTTCATTACAATTGTTTGAAAGAACAAACATAGTTTATTAAGTTTAAGTTAAATTGATGTCTTTTATGAAATATATATTTTTTTTTTATTGCTACACAATATGAATGAAAGCTACTATTGTTGAAAATTTGCTCCTTTTAAGTAATATCCTGGACCAATAAATGCATAACATGTATGTTTACTTTTATAAATTGTTACTTGGATGGAGAGTTGTCTCATTGGCACTCATACCACATCTTCCTATATCTATGATAATATTTTCACTGGTAGTAAGTATGAACTACTGTAAATTCAGAAATTATTGCGTGCATTTATTATTGCGATTTTGTCATTTTAGACTAAAATGCGATTCTAATTTTTGCGATATTGAGACCAATCCTGTTTAATTCATATAAGATATTTCAAAATGCGAGTTTAAATTATTGCGATTATAACCCTGTCGCATTTTTCGCAATAATAAAAACATCGCAATAATTTCTGAATTTACAGTAAATAATTTTGCACTGTTATAACATTTAAAATGTTTGAATTAAAAGTTTTCAAATGAGAACTTGTGTGTTTTGGATGTTTCAGGTCCATGTTGAAGGACACAAGGAGGCCAACCCATTTACCAGAAAGAAGAGATCAGCACCTTTAGATCAGGCTTTGTTAGCTTCTGTTAAATCTATACCTAAACTAGGAGAAGTCAAATCTAGAATGTTATTAGAAAAGTTTGGAAGTAAGTGTTAGAATATGGTATACTTAAATTACCGGTAATAGATTTTAATGATATTACAAGACATCTACAAAATCAGAGACATGTGAATTTTATTATTTTGTTTATTTAGAAATTAACATATTAAAATAATAAAGTACATGTTAAAGGAAATAATTAAATGGCTTTTGTCAAGTGTATTTAATTTTATTTAGATTTTCATGGACTAAATTTAGTGAGTTTTAAATGATTTTGGTTTATTTCAGTTGTGTTGAAATGCGTTGTTTTTTCTAATTCGTCTATTTAAAAAAAAGTGGATTGGGGGGATGGGCTGTAGAAGTTTGAATGTTTTGTAAATTTTTAGGCATACTTTACCTTTTCTTATATTGCCTTAGTAGCCAGCTCATCTTGAATGTGGGTGGTCCTTGGTCTGATCAAACCAAAGAGTTGGAAATTGGTATTTGCTGCTTATCTGCTTAGGAGTGCTGCAAAAGTTGTTGACTGGGAGTCAAAATATTGTATCCAGGTAAAGTGACATGTCTTCTTGCTGACCTAATTAACCCTGTGAATTAGCACTTAAAATTTTGACCTGCTCTGTCCATTTAGGATAGAGTTTATATTCATATCAAATTAGCGGTAACATGATCTCATCCTGAATATGCATATGGATGTGGAACAGTCAACAATCCCTCTATTTCATAAGTGAAAATTTCCTAAAACCTTAACTAAATTCTTTCATAGATACAAAGATTTGGTTTGGAAGATTGCATGTATCTGTACAAACTGTGATATTGTTAATAGAGCTCTTTAATTAGGGAGGAAGACTTTAGAAATGAATATGCCGAGCTTGTAAAATAAATAACCATACCCAAGACAGGGTGAAAATGAATTTTATTCTGCAACACAAAATGTAGCCATCTACAGGAAATTGTGTACAAAATCAAAAGTAATTAAATAAATTACCTTGCCTAAAAACAGTTGAAATTGTATATTTTGTTTGTGAATCCTCCTGTCCCACTAGAAGATCAAATGGTTGTCTGTCTACTTATATTTTGAATGTACAGGGTCATCCACCATTTTATGACAGTTGTTTTTTTGGTTAATACCAATTTGATGAGTCTAGCCTTTTCCAACTGATTTTTACAGTTTTTTCTTATGCTGTACTGTTACACCACAAGGTTGTGGAGAGGGTTTGACACTCACAAACAGTTTAACCCCGCCACATTCTTTATGTGCCTATCCCAAGCCAGGAGCATGTATCCAGTGATTGTCATTGGTTGCTGTCTGTCATATTTGTTTTCCATTTATTGTTTAAGCATAAAGAAGGCAGTTGAGTTTGGAATTCTATACTGTATGGATTTTGCTAATTGTTGAAAGTCGTTTGGTGAATGCAGTTATTCACATCTTGTCCTTTTGGGCATTTGTGGATAGTTTTCTCATCTCTTTATTTTCAACATGACAAAAATCTTTTTTAATCTTTTTTATCTTGACAACAAGGTCCAAAGAACATGAAAGAAAACTTGAACCACTGTCTAGGAGAGTATCCAATCTTGCACTTGAAGGATTCCCACATCCTACTTAGTCATTAATGCATTATATGGTTGTTCATTCTTAATATCTCATTTTCAGGTCTCCATGCTATAAGTAAAGCATCTATTCAGGTGAGTACATTTTCTCTAAAATCGTTTTAACTTAGTATTGAAATACTGTGGATTCATTATAATTTGTGGAATACCAATTTGGTGGATCTCATGGGTATAGATAAACCAAAAATTTAAAGGTTCAATGAGGTTCAAATTTTCTATAGGCCTGGGTGCAGACTATTGCAAAACCATGAAAATCAAATATCTTTTAAAATACAAATTTTCCTCCATCCACAAAAATTGGTATCCATGAAAATACATGAATCCACAGTAGGATAGTTGTCCCAAATATTGTTACTTATGTTCCAGTTATAAAACCAAAGTGGTAACCATTGTAAAAAAAAATTTTTAGTGTCAAGAGATATTTTCCTAGCATTGTTAATTTGGTGTTGATAAGGCTACACGTATGGACACCAGTAGAGAACGTACTAGGGTTACATTAGACCCAAAATGGATTAAAATTGTAAGAACCTCTAAATCAATTAAAGCAAATATACTAAGTGCCAATAGAAAAGCACCATAAAATGTTTTTAACAAAAAAAACCTTGAAAATGTATGCATCTGATGGTACCTTAGTACCATAAAGAACAACACTACACAAATGAAAAAATGTTAAATAATAGATATTACATTAAACCAATGTAGCAAGTGTCATAATTTGAAAGAATGTATATATGAATAATAAAGTTGACGTTCACAGGGAGCATGCTCCATCAAACAAGAATTCAAGAAATGATGCATTGAAAAATTGACATATTTACAATATTTGTTAAACTTCTTTCAGGAATTGACAACTGTTGTTGGAAAAGCTAGTGCTGAACATATAAGGACTTTCCTAGGTAATCCATCCTAAATGTCACATTTTGCTGTCTAGCAGTAGCTTGTTCAGAAAATATTTATCCAGATCAATCAAGAGCACAAGTACACAACAGTAATTATTGTTACAAATACCAAAGACTGAATACATAGGCAGTGTGGAAAGTTCTAAAGAGCTTGAAGAAAGAGCTTTGAAGTAAAAGTAAACATTAAAAAGAACTTACAGTGAATGTTTGATAATAAGAATGCTTCAAAATGTTAACATTATCAAAAATAAAAATTTGATTTTACAAAGTTTAAAGTTTATTTGCAAAGAAAGGATGTACATTGTTCGTGGAGTGGAGAAAACCTTAAGATGTCCTCTGTATCTACATTTTACAGTTTACATGTGGTTTCTTTGTTTTAATAATAAGAATTGATTATGCAATACTTAACTATTGATATCAATGTTTTTACAAAATGTTAGATTTAAGTGGGCTTCCCAAGGTGGGTAGGTGGAAAAAATAAAATCCACATGAATTGTTGAGTAAGTTCATAAGATAATATGATAGAAAGGTTTGGTGTTAACCATGACCATACCAATTTTCGTGGGTATATAAAGTTAAAAACGAATGTAAATGTTCAATGAAGTACACATTTTTTATAGGCTACTATGCAAACATTAGCAACACCATAAAAACGAATATCGACATAAATACATTCACAAAAATTGGTACCCATGAAAATAAAATAATCCACAGTATACAATTTATCCAATTTTAAACATAAAATTTGCATAAAAAAATGAACCCACAGTAGCTTTACTGGCTAATTGTTTGTTTTATAAAAAAAATCAGTTGTGCTGTTACAATACTTTCCCAGATTAGGGGAGGGTTGAGTACTAACACGTATGTTTAACCCTACCACATTCTATATGTGCCTGTCCCAATTCATGAGTCTGTAATTCAGAGTTGTCCTCGGTTGCTGTCTGCCATACTTGTTTTATGTTTTTATCATAGATTAGGCTGTTGTATGGTTTTTTTTCGTCTGATCTGTTTCACATACAATGACCTATAGTTGCTTAAATCCACATGATTTTTTACTCCAATGGATAGTTATCTCATCGGCAATCATGCCACATCTCCTTATTTCTATGAAGTAGTATAAGAGAGGTTTATTTGGATATAAAAAGCATTGCCGTAGCCACTGGAAAATAAATTGTAAGCAGAGAGTGCTTCCCCCAGAAGCTGAACGATTATAATAAAATTCTTATTGAAAAAAAAAATGCTTATTAAAATTAGTTATAAGCTACACTGGTGCTATGCCACTGAAAAGTTATTATGATGACATTTGTTAAAATGATTTAGAAATTAATAGAGTTTTTACATTGTTAAACAGTAAGTTTTTTCTGTTATAACATGCATCAGAATCAATGCATTTCAGTTTCTATGAGAATAATGGCTCTGCTACCTCGTAGTCTTTATTGAGTGACATTGGAATCTGACCAGTCCAGCTTAAGCTTGTTTCAGAGTCTATCAATTGATACAGCTACTTTTCAATCATTTCCTTCATCAAGATTTTCTATACCTTTAAATAGAACTATTTATGAATAAAAGGAAATGTTTAAAAAAACAGCAATCTAGCTATACAAAAAAATCCAAGACATCTTAAGGTCAAAATATGGCCTTGAACAATCATCAAGACAAGTGTCTAAACACCATGTCAAGGTCAAAATGGCCCCCAGAATAGAAAATCTGTGGAAAATTAAAGTCTACATGTATCAAAAAGCTCCAACCGTCATATAATTCCGTTAAGGAAAAAAGGATTCAGAGATGACAGAGAGAGGACTACTGATGGGATTCCTAACTTAGGACAGGCACATGAACATCTGGCAGTTAAACTATTTGTAGTAAGATTTATATTTCAAAGAGTTGTAGACCTGGAGGCTTCATACTTTGTATACAGATGCCTTATGTTACGTAGTTTTCATCTGTCATATGTCTATTGTCCTTGACCTCAATTTCATGGTTCAATGAATGCCTGAAAAAAGTGTAGTTTTTTAGTTATATGAATATCCCACTTATTATGAGTAAACATTTAGGTTCAGTCTGTGGTTAAATTTTTTTTAGACATCAATAACTTTGTCCAACCTTCATGGAATTTTATGAAATTTAGACAGAAGCTTGTTTATGACCAAAATACAGTATCCAGAGCAAAATTTTGAAAATATTTATTTTCATTTTCCCGTATTTTACTGATAAATGGACTTGCTTTTTTTACAGATCAACATTCAGGCTCAGTCTGAGGTTGAAGTTTTTTAGTCAACAATAACTTTGTCAAACCTTCATTGAATTTTATGAAATTTGGACAGAAACTTGATAATGACCAAAATACATTATCCAGAGTGAAATTTTGAAAATGTTTGTTTTCATTTTTCCGTATTTAACTGATAAATGGACTTTGTTTTTTTTTTAAGTTAACAAGTAGATACAGGCTGGGGTTAAAGTTTGTTACACATCAGTTACTTTGTCAAACCTTCTTAGAATTTTATGAAACTTTGGCAGAAGCTTTTTTATTATTAAGAAATAATGTCTGAAGCAAACCTTTGAAAATATATTTTTCTCATTTTCAGTATTTTTCTGATAGATGGATGTTTTTCACTGTTAACATTTACAGACAGTCTGGGATTAAATTTTTTTGACATGATACATTTGTAAACCTTCATGGATTGTTATGAAATTCGGACAGAAGCTAATCTTCAAGACCAAGAAATAGCATCTAAAGAATAAGTTTGAATTTATTTTATATTCTGTATTTTCCTAAATGGACTCACTTTTAAGTCAACATTACACTTTTACACTGACAGCTGCAATAGCAGGGGAGACACAGGGTTCCCATGATTTTTTAGAATACTTTAAGCAATAGGTCAACTGTTATATGATTGCACACGTCTGTCTTGCAGGATTCATCTAACCTTGACCTTATTTTAGGTTTAATTGTCAATATTAAGTTTTCATGGTTTTGTCTGTTACTTGTACACTATAAGTAATAGGTCAACTATATGTGGTGTATGTAATGATTGTAATGTGTACATGTCTGTCTGACTTGGTTTATCTGACCTTGACCTCATTTTCATGGATAATGATAAATTTATGTGATTCTTGTGGTAAAACTTTATCTTTAGGACTATCAACAAAAAATAAATCATGAATAGTAAAGCAGGCGAGACATGTCAGCGGGTACACTCTTGTTAAAGGGATGATACACCCCCCCCCTTTAAAAAAAACAAAAAGACAAGTGCAAGCAAGACCGAATAAACAATAGCTGTATAAAATAAATGGGGAATGTGTCCATGGGACACAGATGATGCCCCTGCTTGCATATAAAGTTATAAAGTGACATAACTGAAGAACGGTAAAAGTGACACTACCCAAATTTGTACTTCATCTGAGTTTTGTGGTAATAAGCATTGTGTATAAGTTTCATAACATTTGGTTGAGGCAAACTTAAGTTTAATAGAGAACAGAAATGAAAAATTCAGCAATTTACCATTTGTAAATGGCATGACTCTAGAACCCTAAAAGTGACGTCACCAAAATTCACGCTTGAAACGATTTTGTGGTAATAAGCAGTGTGTATAAGTTTCATAACATTTGGTAGAGGCAAACTTAAGTAAGAACAGAAATGAAAAATTCAGCAATTTTTCCATTTGTAAAGGGGCATAACTCTAGAACGGTAAAAGTGACGCCACCAAAATTCAAATTTGATCTTTGTTTTGTGGTAATAAGCATCATGTATAAGTCTCATAACATTTGGTTAAGGCAAACTAAAGTTAAAGAACAGAAACGAAAAATTCAGCAATTTTTCCATTTGTAAAGGCTCATAACTCTAGAACGATTAAAGTGACGCCACCAAAATTCAAACTTGATCTGTGTTTTGTGGTAATTAGCATTGTGTATAATTTGGTTGAGGCAAACTAAAGTTAGAGAACGGAAACCGACTTTGGGACGTATGGATGTACAGATGGACAAGGGTAAAACTTGATGTCCCCTCAGCTACGGCGGGGGCATAAAAATGCTCATAGTTACTGAATGATAGCTCAAATTACTGGTACTTATCCTAATGAAAATCATGCTGTCTTACACTAATATTGGTGGCTGTTTTCTTAAACCCCAAACCAAGATAGTTGTTCCACAAGACTGCACACGCCTAAATGTATTTATCATGATTAAATTTTATGTTGAAAGTCTTTGACATCAAAGTTTTACAATTAATTAACTTTGACCACCAATGAACCATGCAAATGAGGTCAGGGACAGAAGCACACTGCCAGATGGATATTAAAACCTTACAATCATTCCATACAATTGACCTATAGTATCTAAACTTGACATCCATGAAAGGAGATTGATCCATGATGGGAGGTTGAGGTCATGTGAACCTTGTCTTAAAGACATGCACACCTTGCAAGGATCTTATATACCAAATACAGTTGTCTTATTACTCATTACATTGTATAAGCAAGAAAATCACATGACAAAAGCTAGAGTTTTTGAAGCAGCCGATGAACCATAAAAATGAGGTCGAAAACAATGGACATAAGCCAGAGGCAAAGATCTGGCATCTGTATACAAGATTTGAAGTATCCAGAACTTCTATCTTCTGAAACGTAATTTTTTCTTCATATAGTTTATGCTGCTGCCAATTGAAATTAGTAAACCTATCACATCTTGCATTCTTTTGTCACTGGTTAGACAAAAAGGATAATAGGAATTATAATATCCCATGATATTCCTGGCTCCATATTGTATGGAGATTACAATAGGTGTCAGACCACCAATTCACCCAATTCAATTTAGAACATATGTAAAAGTAGCCCTTCCCTGACAAAAATAGTGCTTTTGATGTCATTGTTTGCTTAAACTAACAACCAAATTTGCAGAAATGAAACTTTTGATGAAAAAGAAATATATGTAGGCCATTTTGAGCCAAAATTTTACTTGTCCATGATTTTGCAAAGAAAATTGAGGATTAATGCGCTCATAGTATACTTATTTAAGATTTCCAGAAAGCCATTGGTTATTTTTAGTAGTAGTTTAGTTTCGAACAGTGGTGTTTCATTACAAGACTATAAACATTGGTTGAAAATTGGCATATAGAAAGGTGATACATGTACAATTCAGAATATACCTGGTTTCTATGAAGTTAAACTTAAGGTAAAATATTTAGAAAGCAGTGATAATTGAAAAATTTGGTTGATAATATAGTTTTGAATTGGTGATCTGACACCAATAGGCAACACAATATAAACTCTAACATCATCTCTGTTCATTGTTTTTATTTATTCTTTAATATAGTGAATTCCTTTTATACAAATAAATGGTTTGCTCAAATATCAACAACATATATCAACGTATGGGAGTATAAAATATAACCATGCTCCAGATCACAAGCTTCTCCTGAGATATGAGCACAATAAATAACAATCATCGCTCCCTCTCACTCATAACAATAACATTTCTCTCAAGGCATACTCTCACTCACGTCTATAGTGAATCAAACCCTATCGTGGTCACAATAAATAAACAATTGACTCAGACTCACAAGGAATCTTATAATAATATGAATGGTTATTTACAAGAAATTCTAAAAGTGATATTACAATTAAAATGAAATAAAAAAAATTTGTCATGACCAAAACTAAAAGTCTTCCTAAAACTACATATCAATTTTAACATTTGACGATACTTCATTACATGTCATTCAATTTAAATAAAGCATAATTAATATTTGATATTAAATACATATGCAATACTTTGAAATGTCAAATGTAGACATTTCCAGAAATCCAAGTTTTATGCAAAATGAACATATATTAAATATAATTTTACATTTTTTTTGGCAAACTATATGACATCAATAATGACTATGAATCTTAAATAATTGTTTAAACCAACTGCTTAAATACTTGGTATGTCAATATTTTAATGAATTAGAAGATAAAAATATTAACTAATATATAACTCTTAGTTCTATACAATGTATATACCAAACAAGAGAATAATAAAACGTTTTCAATTACTGGTTAGAAGGTGTTTTCACATCCTTAGCATCTGCAAAGAATAAAACACAATTCAGTCACTCTGTTATGTGTATCTATGCTAAAGAAATGATTTCAGGTGAATATTTTTCATGAAACAAATGAAGATGGATTTCTTTCTACACATGGCCCTAAAAATATAGAAACAATCAGGAATGTCAATAACATACCATGAATAATCTCTACAGAGATACAATGTATCAGTAACTGGGAGTATGCCAATGGAACTGTTTCTAATAATAGGGTAATATCTATATAATCATTCAGTCCTACTTTGGCAAATTTCAGAATTTCAAAACTGTTGACCTGTTTCAAAACCACTGAGATTTAAAAAGGTAAAATATTTGTGTAATTGTTTATGTGATTTGGTTTAACTATTCACACAAGTAATCAACTAGTAGTCATGTATTTTAAATTAATATATCATTGTTTTCAATTATGTTTATTTTTAAATTGATGACATTATTTTAAATGGATGGAACTCTTTAAAATTATGAATAAATAAAATACAAATAAAATATTTGACTTTGTGAAATGACAATAATGTTAAAAGTGCTAAATATAAAATATACCAAACCTAGAACTTAATGAAGTGTAAACAGAATCTGTTCATTTTTCTTGAATGCTAAAAGTAATTTTTTTTAGCTTTGTATGTTAATTTGCATTAATTGATGGTTTAAAGGTCAGGTTGTCTTAATAAAAATAGGAACTATTTCATGCACTTTGCATATAAAATCTTACATAAAAACTGTATCTACAAAATCTATACAAAAATTTATTCTAATTAACATTAAAATATTTACTTATTTAAGTATAACTAGAAAACTAGAGGCTCCAAAGAGCCTATATTGGTCAGGGCTATTCCATTAAAATGTATGTGGGAGGGTAGGAAGGGACTTTCAAAATATCCCTACAACCAAGAACCATTTTTTAGATAATTTTACATAATGGTAATAGACGCATACTGAATAAAGACCCATGACCCACATTCAATAATTAAACTTCCCTTCCTACCCTCCCACATACAATTTAATGGAATAGCCCTCACCTGCGATCTTTGCCTGTACTTTAATAATTGTCCTATTTGACCCATACAGCCATCAAACTATTTTGGCTTCACTTAATCTCCTGTAAAACTCTGTGGATCCCAAAAAGGATATACATAGACCATTCTTATCAAAATTGAGTTTCCCGTTAAGTGATTGAGGGTACTCACTCAATAATTATGTATAAACTTCATTTGTCTTTTGCTTTTATAAGGTCCTTAAAAATTCAATAAAATTCGTTCAGGAACCAGGTTTAGATAATTAGCCCACAACCCTGCCTAATTCAGCTGGTTTGAAGAATGTCATTCAATGAAGCTGTAACCAAACTTCTGTCACTTGCAACCTTTGAACTTCCAAAATGCTGTAAATCTTTTTGGAACCCCATTCTAGACAAATCTTAGCAAGGATTCTGATGCAGTGGTTTCAAAGGATAAAATCTATACCACCACTGACAGCAAATGATTGCAATAACTCACAAGGCCTTTTGTCAGGAGAGCTTAAAGTATTTAAAAAAATTGCTATAAATTAATTAACTCATAATTTTGTATTTTTAAGTTCATTGCTGTCTTCCAACAAAAATCTAATTTTATCATGATTTCTTAAATATCTAAAACACAACAACAACAGTATAGAAAATATTTACCTCCCTAAATATATTAATTATAAATAATCATACCAAACACATTTCATTATCACAGTTGAAACTTAATATTTATTTACTGGTCACCAACCGTAACAATGGGAGGAAACCAGTATTCTTCAAATCCTTAGTGTTCTCAGTTTAAAAAAAAAGTATGTAAAACCAGTACAATAAATGTGATTACTTCTGTAACATATCATGTTAATGGCTCTTAATCTAAAAATTAAAAAAAACAATTAACTGACAAGGTATACTTAGATTCTATGACAGCATGCAAAGGATCAACTTTCTCTTTCATATTTTAGAAATAATTTAAACTTGTGAACCTTATATCAATCTTATCCGTATAATACCTGGCAAGTTTAGAAGTAGATTTATGCACAATGTTATTACAACTTCTGAACTTAATATTATTAACAATTAGGTGAACAAAATAAAATTCAAAAATGTGGGCAAGGGAAGGTAACTCTATTGTATCATGCCTTACATTTTCAAATGACAGAAATTTGTTGTTAAACAAAGAAATAAAATTTAACTAGGATCAATGCATACTGGTGCGAAATTCTTTCTTTAACCCATGTTCTTAATTTCTTTTTATTTGTTAACTTTGTTCATTCACATAAGTATTCTAGTCACATTGTAAACAAATATGATTAATTCTATAGCTATTATATCTGACAAATTTATAAATAGCAAAATGGGTCTTCTGAAAAAAAATGAGTAAAGGACTGGCAAATTAATAAACACTGTGCATTACATAACTTTTATCAAAAAGGTTTAACTTATTTAAATGGCAGTTTTAACTTGAATTCTATTCATCTTCAAGAATGTCTTACAAAACTCAAATGTTAATGAAACTTCTATGCCCCAATTGTAAAGCTAGAACATTACATCAAAAGCCCTACAACTGGTCACCAATTTTCTTGCAAATTTTTTATTTGTATTTAGAAAAATGAAAGCTGTGAAAACAAGGTTACTCAGTGAACAGATATTTTCAGGTAACTTTATCGCAATTCTGCCAGAAAAAAATATCTTCAACAGCCTAGCAATTTTGCAACAATCTTAGTACCCACTTGAAAGAAATCCAGTGATTAGTTTCTTGGCCACACTTGTAATTTAAAAATAAAAGCTGTCATCTCAGCAGTTTTTTTAAATTGAAAAAGTAGGGAATAAATATACTTATAAACACAGAAAGAATGCTTCACTATATAGAAGTAAGTAAACAAATTAAGTGCATTCAACTACCAAAATACCATTTTTGAAAGGAAGACTTTTCATCTTTCATTGCATACATAAAATATATATAAAAATATGTAGAAAAGATATTTTTAAAGCACTGAATGAAAAACAGTTAATGGGGATGATATCTTCTCAAATTTTCCTTCCATCCATCTCTTTCTCCAGGCTCAGCTTCATGCACACGCCACAAAAGTCTAAAGACAGTCTTCATTAACTTGGTTGTTCATTTAAATCGCCATATTTTTCAAACACTCCTTCTACATATTTGGTTAAATCAAAGTCTGTGGTTTCACCCTTTTTAACAAATGGATGTTCTAACAGTTCAGTATAATTGGCCCTTTGCTGTACATCTTTATGTAAACTGCAAACACAATAAATCAAATCATATCATTTTTCATGTATTTGAATTTTACTAGTTGTAAATACATTTATTCATAATTTATTATGACTGGATTTGCTATATGCATTTTTCTTTAATGTTTGATAGTTCTTTTTTATATTAAATAATGTAGCTTAATGAGTCAACACTGTTGAGAGGTTGAAAATAGATAAGACCATGGATCTTCCTTAATGATGCTTTAGAAATCAGTATTTAACCCTTTCATTGCAGGGGTTGTAATATTACAGCCTGTAGTCAAAATATGCTTTTATGACTCAAATGGCACTCCATACTTTCAGGTTGGTTGTTTGATATTGATTTAAAATTCATTCAACAACTATTTATTATGATGCAGTTTAAGCCCAATTCAAACTTGAAGAAATTGAAACCAGAGGAAAATGGCAATTTTGGAGTGGTTGCTCTCTTCTATCTGGCTCATGCAGTACAGAGGTCTGGAAATTCCAAAAACAATGTAAAACCTCATGAATATATCTTCAGACTGTATATAATTTAGATATGCTTTGGGTACAACTACATCCAGTTGCAGGTCAAGGTAAAGCCAAAAATTTAGTCTTAGATACATTTTTTTATTAGTTGTTATTGGCTATGAACTAGCTTTCAGTAACTGTGAGTTCTCTCTGTACTTGTTTCTTTTGTGTTTTTGTTAGTTTTTTTTGTGTGTTTTGAATTAATCTGATAAGTTAAGCCCTTTTCAACTGATTTTTATAGTTTGATCTGATGTTGTACTGTTACAACACTGTCCCAGGTTATGGCGAGGGTTTGGCACCAGGACACGTTTAACCCAGCCACATTCTGTATGAGCCTGTTATTCAGTGGTTGTAGTTTGTTGCTGTATATATATCATATTTGTTTTTCGTTGATTGCTTTGTACATAAATCAGGCCGTTAACTTTCTAATTTGAATTGTTTTACATTTGTCATATCGGGGCCTATTATAGCTGACTATGGGTTTTGTTCATTGTTGAAGGTTGTACGGTGACCTATAGTTGTTAACTTCTATATCATTTGGTCTCTGGTGAAGAGTTGTCTCATAGGCAACATACCACATCTTCTTATTTTTATATTTATCAATTAAAATTTCTTTAATCCTGGTTATAATATGGTGAAAATGATAAAAGATACTTTACATCTACTCCTGAAAAACATATTCTTTATTATTTTTGAATTTCTCAATATCTGTCTGTTTTGCATATTTCATGTTAAATTCTAGAATATGTTATTTTTGCTACTAACAACAGTAGCAATGTTTGCAAGGCACTTACCAGCAAGTTATAAAATCTTCAAATTCTGTAGAGAACTGTTCAGACGGCAGTTTGGGAGGGGGATCTTGTACCACTTGTTTCAGTTGTTCAAATGGTGTGTTCCATTTCTTGTATGGAAAACTTCCTGTTGCTAACTCAATCTGAAAAATATCAAAAAAGGAAACAATGAAATTTATTTCCTTTCATTGCAAATAAGCATTTACATATATCAACACAAAGCATTTGCCATAGGCCGAAACTGTATGGGAAAGGATTAATTGCCCAAATCTTTACGAAGTTGTGAACAAATTCAACTGAGATTACCAAGAACAGACATCAATACTAAATACTGTGGATTCATTATTATTCCTAGGACACCAATTTTTTTTGGATTTCATCGGTAAACATGAACCACAGATTTAAATGTTCAACGAAGTATACATTTTCTATAGGCTTGTATGCAGACTTTGGGAAAAGCACAAAATCAAATATCCATGAAAATACAAATTTCCCTCAATCCACAAAAATAAATAGGTCCACAGTACCCATGTGCACAAAATTAACACAAAGAAACTATGACAACCACTGGTGAGCTGACTTTGTCTGATTGCAAATATTATACAAATATTCAGGGCAATAAGTAATTCATAGAATAGATTCAAACTCAGGTGATCCTACCATAAATATTATGTGGATTCTGAGCCAATCTGCAGTCTTTGCTCTTAATCCTTGCTGCATATTAAGTGTAGATGAAAATACCAATTCTATAGTATACTGTTTGATCCAATACAGGACGAAAACTAGATGGAAAAACATTATGTACTATTTAGATCTTTTAATATAATCTTACCCAGGCTGCATGTTCACATGCCTGTCAAAGTCAGGACCCTTGTTAGTGGTTGTCTTTTATTTTAATTTAAGGTTTTTCCTATCACAATGTATTTGTTGTCATTTTAAGGAATTTGGTGTTGATGGCAGACTTTTATAGACTCTGTTAATTTATTTGCTACTTTTCTAGACTGTTGGCAATTTTTGTAGAGACACCTGTCTATTAATTGTTGAAAATGCTATTTTGTTTTGCTGTCCCATTGACATTCACCCAGCATCTCCTTCTATTCATTTATTTATTTTTGAACAGCCTATTCATTTGTTGTATTTTTGCATTTGCTCTGTACTTTTGTTTGACCAATAGAAATTCATTTAATTTGTGAATGCCTTTGCAAAAGCATTAAAAGGTACTTAACAAAAAAGGATTTAATGCAATCAACTCAGTCTTGTGCAAATATATTCTGTCATCTCTAAATATGATTTTAAATATTTGTGGAATAAACTTTGTGTTCTTTAATTATCTAAAAGTTGTATTTCCTTTACATGGCATGTCATAATCCCATTGCATGACTGTAAAATACCATGAATTATCTCCCTTACCATAGTAATTCCTAGACTCCATACATCTGCTTTGATATCATAACCTGTTTGTCCTTCTTTCGGATTAATTCTTTCAGGCTGAAAAAAAAGACAGCACATCATGTTTATTTTTTTTCTATATTAATTTCAAAGTTCTTATAATAAACTATAAGTTCTTGCAAAATGCAACCAGTCCAGTATTCCAGGTATGTCAAGACTAGAACATGTCTGAAACCAAAGTAATATAAAGTCCTGTGCACAGCCATAAAGATTGCAATTTTCATATAATTTTGATTGAAAAATTTGGCAATAAATATAATGAATTCATTTATGCCATCATGTGCATTTACAACGAGGAGCTTGGAATTAACAGTTCTGATTTTTACTTAGTAATGCAGCTTTTAAGGGTACAATTTTTTGTACCTTTGCACATAGTATCAAAATGTTGAAAATTTGAGCACTGCCAAAGTTTAAACATTCATAAAAAATAGTTTCTTAAAATCTACTTTTTTGTAATTACCTTTCTTAAGCAATATCAAAACTTGATTATGAACAAATGATACACATATCGCATCTGACCTATCAAATCATTACTGGTTAGAGACATATTATGGTCCATTTGTTTACTCTTTGTTCATAAATGATAAATGCATCTTTCAAATTTTGTAAAAATTCTAAGTTTACCTGCCATTCAAAATTAATAAAATATATTAATATAATGTTAGGCAAACATTCTGTGGTTCTTATTTGCTGCTGTATATCATATTGGTTTTTCGTTTATTGTTTTGTATATAAATCAGGCCATTAGTTTTCTCGGTTGAATTGTTTTATATTTGTCATTTCAAAGCCTTTGATAGCTCGCAAGTGCAGTTTTGGTTTTGCTCATTGCTGAAGGCCCTACAGTGACCAATAGTTGCTAGCCTTCTACATAATTTGGTCTCTGGTGGAGAGTTATCTCATTGTTTATCATACCACATCTTGTTATTTCTATATATATAAATTTTCTCCAGTTTCCACTTCAATATTCATCTCTTGTCTTTTTTCTCTATTGAAGGTCAAGAATATTACATTCAAATGAATGTGGGAGGGTCGGAAGTTAGTCTTATTTTCTGGGTATGGGTGTATTTGATCTATGCAAACCTAACAACAAAGTATTTCATTTACAGGAGAATTTAAGAAGTGTCTTTCTACCCTACCATTTGAATTGAATAGTCCTATACCCTACCCTACCATTTGAATTGAATAATCCTATACCCTACCACATCCATTTGAATTGAATAGTCCTATACCTACCACATCCATTTGAATTAAATAGTCCTATACCCTACCCTACCATTTGAATTGAATAGTCCTATACCCTACCACATCCATTTGAATTGAATTGAATAGTCCTATACCCTACCCTACCATTTGAATTGAATAGTCCTATACCCTACCCTACCATTTGAATTGAATAGTCCTATACCCTACCCTACCATTTGAATTGAACAGTCTTATACCCTACCCTACCATTTAAATTGAATAGTCCTAATTGATCATTGGTGTTCTATACAATCAATACTTACTGCCATGTAAGGTTTACACCCAGCATCCTGAGTCTTTGCAACAGAATCTACTAACTGACCAGAGATACCAAAATCACAGATTTTTACTTGGGCTACCTTGTTAATTAATATATTAGATGGCTTAACATCTCGATGCATCACTTTTAATTCTGTCTTCAAATAATGCAAAGCCTTTACAACCTGCAAGAAAAAAATGTATCCATAAATTACCTGCTGAACATTGGGTTGAGGCCACAAATTAGTTGTTTTTTTTTGTAAGAACTCAATTGGTTTAGATTGTGGTTGTAATAGGTGTTGAGAAATAAAGGAGAAGGGTATGATCAGAGCCATTATTTGGCCTCTGAAATTGCAAAAATAGTTATTCAAGCCTTTCAAAATTATGTTAATTTCTATCATGTTAATTTTATTGATAAATGAACATAATAAGAGCAATTATTTGGCCCCTGAAACTGCAAAAATGGTTATTCAAGCCTTTCAAAATTATGTTAATTTTATTGATAAATGAACAGCTTTATATAATCTGGAGACTTCGAGTGCATTTAGGTCACTTTTGATGTCATAATTATATTAAAATAGACATATTTGAGCTAAAATGACCACTCTACAAAAATGTTTTGGACAAAATAGATATAAGCAACAGCATTACTCAAAACAATTTTTTTACACACATTAACATCTGTGTAAATAAATCTTGTAGAAAAAATATTTGATCTATTAAAGCTGTTGCTCATATCTAAGTAATAATGAAAAGATTTCAAAATGAAGCTATTTTGGCAGTATATGCAGTTTGTAGCCCTAATGAAATCTGCAGGACAAAATCCAAAAATAGAGATTCTGATGTCTGATAGACTTCTGTCTTTTGAACATCACAAGGATGTTATTTGGTAGATTTATATGATACTCTTTTATTTTCAAATTAAAGCGGCCAAAAAAGTGGCCTTATATTACCTTCTCCTTTCTATGACAGGCAGAACTCAAGATCAATCTAAAGCAAAGTTACATGAGTCACCTTCAGTTAGAAAAATGTATATACGAGATTAACCACTTACTAGAGCCTTTGTTTATGCATGTTAAGCAACCTTCAATTAATTCATCAATCTAAAAGTTTCCTGATAAATCCAGCAATTTTAAAGGAAAAATTTGTAAAGGGTTCCGCTGAACCTTGTGTCTCAACTGCAATTGCTTTTGTCAGTCATGTGTCTGTGTAAAAGTGTAATGTTGATTTCCAAAAACTAAGTTTATTTATTGGTAAAATACAGGAAATTTTATTTAAAATCAAATTTTTTCTTCAGATACTATTCTTGATCTTGAATAACCTTATTTCCAAATGCATTAAATGGATGTTTAACAAATTCATTGATGTCTAGAAAATATAGTCCAATAGTGTATGTATATGTTAATTGCAATTTATCAGTAAAATATGGAAAATTCTAACATAACGTTCTTCAAACACTTTGAGTACACACCCGTGGTAAAATATGAATATATTGTTTGGCCTGTTCCGATCGTACTCCCGCGTCATATACTTTTTTATGAATGAGCTACCCGACGTCATAGAACAATGACGTAAGAATATAAGCATTTTACGGGGAAATACACGCTTGTGAAACCGAAAATCATCACAACAAGGAAATGTAAACAAAAGATGCTAAAATGTGTTATATAAGCCATTTTTTGTATACATATAAGACATATAAGTACAATTATCATTTAGATTCATCCAAACCTATCTAAACGTGTTATTGTAAATAGTTTAAGCATGTCATTTATTCAGTTTGCTCCGGTCGTTTACGTCAATTTAATAGTGCGTTTATTTATGGGAACGGCAAATAATGCCTTCATCTAGAGCGCTTCGATCCAAAACAATTGCCGTATTTGTCCTATTAGAATTGAAATAATTCATGGGGGCTTGAATATATCGTGATTTTACCACGGGTTGTCCCTTTATGCCGATATTTTACCCCTCGCTATTGCTCAGGGTAAAATATTTGTCATAAAGGGCCAACCCGTGGTAAAATCACGATATATTCAAGCCCCCATGAATTATTTCTTAAATAAAAAATATATTTTCAAAATTTACATTCCAACATTATATCATAATCATAAAAAGTCTTCTGCCAAAGTTCGATAAAATTCTATGAAGGTTTAACAAGGTTATTGATGTTTAAAAAACTTTAACTTCAGACTGTATCCAAATGTTTATGGCAAAAAAAAGACTTTTTATCAGTTAAATACAGAAAAAATGAAAAATTTTGTCTGGATACTGTATTTTGATTTTAAAAAAGCTTTATGCCGAAGTTTTGTAAAATTCCATGAAGGTTTGACAAAGTAATTGATGTCTTGAAAACTTTCACCTTAGCCTGTATCCACAGTAAAAGACAGTAAAAAATGGAAAAAAATATTTTCAAAATTAAAAGCTTCTACAGGGTCCAAGTTTCATAAAATTCCATGAAGATTTGACAAAGTTATTGATGTTTTAAAATAATTTAACTACAGACTAAACCTAAATGTTGCTTACTACAATGCCGGAATGATGCATCGCTGGGTCTCAATTCAGCGAAAAATGTCACAGACTCAACAATTATTACAAATTAAAAAAAATCGGTTCAGGAACTCAAATTCAGATCTAGATTCCAATTTGAATTATAACATAATCAAAGTACTAGCTCGCTTGATAACATTCTTGCAAAATATTTTCTGTCATAAATCACTTGAAAGAATCTAAGAACAACAACAATAATTTACAATAATTATTTCAAAAAAATACTTACAGAAAAAGTGATAATTGCTAAAACAGTCTCTGGTATAGACTGACCATCTTCATAAATCTTTTTATAGAATTTGTCTAATGATGTGTCCATTACCTCCATACATATCCAAACATCACCCTGTAATATATCAGCACATTTTTTTTAATAACCATCAAATGCATGCAATCAAATGATGAAATTCTAATCAATCACTCAAAGCCTATGCTTTACAGAAATCTGCAAGTTTACCTTCTATCTGAATTCTGTATAATATTTTAACTCCATAACTTGCATCAATATTAATCATTGAATTTAACATATGAATTGCTCTAATTTTGTATGCATTGTAATCAATTAAGAAATTTCATTATTCTTTACAATGAAAAATCAAATAAAAAAAAATTTACAAACGATTGCTCCCTAATCTTTTTTATTAAGGAAAAATAGAAAAAATTCTTAATTATGGAGCTAAAATTTTCATGACAAAATTTTTATTTTCATCTTCAGTGATCCAATTATGATGTTTTTTTTAGAGAACTAATTAAATGAAAACGTTTGCCCCCTTTACGTATCTTTTATTTTTTCTGAAAATCAAAAAACAATCTAAAAAATAAACTTGATGTGGCTTTACCTCTCTAAACAGAGCACCGTAAAACTGTACTGTATACGGACATGAACCACTCCTCATGGATACATCTAAATCCATTAATAAACGTTTCTGTTCTTCATTATTAACTGTTACAGTAATTCTCTGAAAAAGTCATAAAAACAGGTTGTTTATAACATTATTATTTAAACATGACTTGATGCATGATAAATGCTTTTACACCAAAACTCATTTGTATAATAATGTATTACAGTTTTTGTTTTGATTGACGTTAGTATCAACCCAATCGCTGTTCATTTCAGAACATGAGGATTTGTGTCATTACTGAAGCTTTTAAACAAGCAAATATATTTATTCAATATCAATTTCATGATAATCGGTATGGTATATATATATATATTACCTTATGATAATTTTGTCACAGATTTAAATAAAAAGTTGATTAAGTGTAAACAGCAATGTATTAGAATGAAATATGTTACTGCATACATGCTTTACTTTTATCTACTACAGAATGTCACATAATTTCGTTTGTAATAGATCTTTCTGTTCAAAGTCCAGAATCAATTAGTTTTTTTGGTGTACTTCAAATACTTTCTGTCTCTAGAAATCAAATATATATTTTGTAGGCCACATAGTTGTTTAAAATGTCTGCAGTATTCAACTGTTTATACTATTATGACATAAACATTCTATTGATGTAATTGTATTTAGAAAGAAATAAATGATATTCAAAATTGATAAAATTCTTAAATGATCTAATGTGCATAGAACAGAATGAACTCTGACATATTAATTATTTGTGTTAAACAGATTTGTAATTAGTTATACCTTTACGGCTACAATAGCCCCACTTGGTCTGTGCATCATTTTATCAACAATACCAAAGGCACCACGGCCAAGATTTTGGATAAGCTGAAGGTCACTGGCCTCAATCTCAAACTGTTTATCATTGATCTTAATTGTGGCTTTGGAGTCCAAATTTCTTGGAGGGCTGCAATGAAAATAAAAACAAGTTAAATTTACTATTTGACTCCAGATCCTCACTGTTTTCATAGGTTAAGGTGGTACCTAACACTACAGGGAGATAACTCTGTAAAAATCAGCTAAACATTTTAATTACGTTGTATTGTTAAGGAAATATTAAGCTTCTCAATGATCAAAATTAGTGTTTGTCAAACTGCTATATAACCAATGAAGTTTTTCTGATAAAGTTGTTGGTTCAAATTTTTTGAAATTTTTATATTTCTGTCAAAGGGTCAAAGTAAACATTTTGTCAAAATTTTATGAAAATTAAACGAGCCAAATTAATATTAGTCAAGGTGTTGGGTACCACCTTAATTTCCCTTGTAATATTCTATTATAAAACATAATACCAGGTACTTATCATGTCATAATAAAACATTCAAACTCCTACAACACAGTATAAAAATGTGACATATAATAAAATAAACTTAATGCCTGTAAATTATGTTTACTAACCAAATACAATCTATATTTAGCTCTGCCTTTAGATTCCATAACTATAACATTTTTGGGTTAATGAAAGAAGTCGTTATTTGTATATTTACCATTTCAAGATCTTTTCAAAACTCTTTTTTACACAGGATTCATTACCAAAAACCTGATAGCCCTCCAAATTGTTGTTTTGAAAAATGAAACAGAAAGTATTGCATATAAAACTAAGGAGATATGGTACGATTGCCATTGAGACAACTATCCAAAAGAAAAGAATGTAAACAACATAATTGTCACCTTAACACCTTAACACCTTAAACAATGAGCAAAACCAATACTGTAAGGCAAGCTATAAAAGGCCAGGCTGACAAAACATGATACAATACAAAAGTGAAAACCAACAACCATATTTACTCAAAAAATTCATAAGGGTTCCACGGAACCCGGTGTCTCGCCTACTTTTGCTGTTAATCGCAGGCTCAACAAAAATGAGGAAAAAAATTAATAAAAATATTCCTCTCGATACTATCTTTTGATTGTAAGAAGCTTCTGTGCAAGTTTGGTAAAAATCCAGGATAGTTTATGAATCTAATAAAAGTTTTAAAAACTTTAACTGCTGGCTGTATGTAATGTTAACTGGAAGAAAAACTGAGTCCATTTATAAGTAAAATACGAAAAAACAGGTACAAAATTTTAACAAAATTTCCTTCTAGATACTAGCTTTTGATCATAAACAAGCTTTTGTCCAAGTTTGGTACAAATCCAGGATAGTTTAAGTTATTAAAATTTTAAAAACTTTAACCACAGAGTGAATGTAATGTTTCCTGGCAGAAAAACTAAGTCCATTTATAAGTAAAATACGGGAAAACCAGAATTTTTTTTTTTAAATTTACTACTGGATACTATCTTATGATCATAAACAAGCTTCTGTCCAAGTTTGGTAGAAATCCAGGTTAGTTTAAGAAAGTTATTAAAATTTCAAAAACTTTAACCACAGAGTGAATATTTGTGGACGCCGCCGCCGACGACGACGGAATGTAGGATCGCTATGTCTCTCTTTTTCGAGAAAAGTCGAAGGCTCGACAAAAACAATAAAGGAAAAACAAATACGGATGACAGCAACCAATGACAACCACTGAATTACGGACCTCTGACTATGTACCAGCCTGAGGTACCAGCACATGCAAATTCAAGATGATAACATGTTCATAGGATAAGAATATGAAACCTGCTTTGTCGAGAACCACACAATCAGACAGATTTTTAACATACTAGGTCAAAAGGTCTGCAAGAAGACATGTAAAAAAATTTGACAATTTACCTCATAATGACCAAAATGAAGACAGAAAAGCGAGACTTGGGAGTGCTGTTTTATGTGGCAGCATCAACGTCAACAATGTGTTAGTTTGTGATTAGGTCAGTTTAATGGGAATCACTAGTGGTAGATCAATGATATTTGGTATGCAGTTGTATAAGCATAAACAGATCTTCATTTCCATTAAGATTATTTGGTCCTGCCACACCCCGTCCAGTCATAGTCTATTAACTTTGAAACTTTTTTATAATTTACATGTTCAAGTTTGTGTGTTTAGATAAGTTTAAAGGGAACCACTTATAATAGGTCTTTGGTATTTGGCATGCAGTACTACTATCATTGGAATTGAGGTTATTTAATCTGCACCTTAGGTCATTGTTCATTGACTTTGAATATTTCACCTAGTTAAATTAGTTTACATGTTAAAGTACTGCCGTTTTAATTTCAACATTTGCATTATAAATTGTACTATCAAAATTCCATTAAGGCCATAATAAATGCTATATTTTCTTGCACTTAGTTTCAAGTATGCATGCATCTTGTAAAACATGCACTTTTAAAAAAAACTAGTGCATGCACTGATTGAGAATAAAGAGTTGTTGTATTCAAGTGTTACATTCCTACATAATCATGGAATAATTAAGTACTTGTTATATACAGTTGTATATATATATATATGAATGAAGCATGGCAATGATGCCAATGAGTAAGACGTGTGGTGTCATAATTGTATCATCAATGTATCATTCCATGAAAATTCATACATTTCTCTCTTAATCAGTCATTCATCAATACCTAATTATTTTATAAGACTAATTATTTATGGTATGTGATTCATACTTATATTTTCTATATCCCAGATAATACTTAAAACATGAATAAACAATGGTTCACCAGAAAAAAAACCTGCAAATAGCACATGCTGAATTTTCAGGATGATAAAATATTACTTTAAGATTAAGGAATGTTAAAAACAAAAATGCAAGAAATCTCCTACAGGGTAAAGGTAAAAGATTAGAAGGGAGTCAGTAGCCCAGTCCTGTGTGTCACAAAAAATCTTATGATCCTAAGTATACTGAATTGTTCATGACTTAGGTCAATTTTGGTCGTAAAATTTTAATGAAACAAGCACCAGGCTAGTTAATTTTGAAATTTATGATTTTTTTATTAATGCAAAAATGCAACAGGATGAACAATGCAAATGTTAGAAAAAGCATCATTTTAATATTTTTCCTATAGTATTCACAACAATTAACCTCAGATTACTGTCCACACATGCACCAAACAGTATTGAGGAAACCCTTGAATTAATCAGTTCTACATAAATGTCTTGTAGCCTTGTGTCAAGAGTAGTACTTTGATGTACTTTGCTTTATTACAACATTTATGAGGCTTATTTTAAACTGTTGGAATGTGATATATAGGTCAGAAATATCACCTGTCTATATTACCATGTTAACTGTGACCCAATTCATAAAACTAACATGCTATGTCTGTATGGTTTTTCTTTCTTTTTGTTTATGCATATGAGCATTAGAAAACAGGCTCCAAACATTCAAAACAGACACAACCACCAGACAGTATGCATGATTGATTCTTCTTTTAGAGTAATCATATGGAAGTAGATGACCTAGCTTTTGATCAGTAGGTTACCAGGTGACACAGACTGGTTTATTTTTATAGTAAACCATCTGTCATCTGATCTGATTTTATGGGTGAAAATGTAAAAGTCAATTATTGATGTTAAATGACATGCTATTAAAAATTCTATGCATTTTCAAAATTCTTATTGATAGCTTCTTGTGCAAATAATTTGTCAAGTGATTTGATAACTTGAAAAATGATTTCCTTTACATTACCTTTTCAAATTTACAAGGTAAAAATTAAAGTGTCTCGACTATAGACTTAACATACTTTTTACTATAACCAATACTAATGTCTGGAAAGTGAAGCAAATCAATATTTATCAAACCATTTTACATTTAATAACTGACAAGGACATTCATTGATGACCTATAGATTGACAACAGATGGAGGAAGTCGTCTTACATTCAGTTGTTAAAATAAAATGATCTGAAAACAAACAAGTATGCAACCACATCCAGACAAATATTCAAGGTTATATAACTATATATTCATTTAAATAGTAGTTGAAAGACAACTTCAGTTAGAGTTGGTAAAAGCACTTAGAATTTTTTTTAAATATTTCAGAAATTAGCAGTGGACACACTAAAGACATTGAAATTAACAAGTTTTAAGCCTAGCCAAGCTCTGCCATCAATGTTCATGTATTTTAACAATAAGTAAACCAGAAAATAATATCCAATAAGTTTCATATAACATACATTAGAGTAAATATTTAACGACAAAACTCACTAGACTGTACATAAATATTTTACATGAATAGTTCGCTTAAATTTTTTGTAAGTGATTTTTTAAATCAGCACCAGTCACATAGTTTTTATTAATTTTTCCTGTTCTATATCAGAGAACTGTCAATATATCTGTCCTTTATTTACTTTCTGGGACCAAAACCATATAGTCTCAACCCCAAAAACATTCCCCCAACCTAACCATAAGTCTTAACTGAACCCTGATCCTAAAGAACAGGGTCTTGTAAAGTAAATCAAAGGCCAATTATTTTGCTTCATTCACACCTCAAATTGTGAAGTTTTTGTAAGTTTTATAAGGTCTTTAAATTTCAGAGTAATTACAAACTTAACATGTGGTCATTAAATAAAGATATGCAGAGTCAGCAGTTTCTTTGATTGTTTTATTTATTTTCTTCCTTGTTCAAGATTTAACATTTAAAGGGATAGAAGCTACGATTTTAACAAAACTATGACCACGTTTTAAAGCTGCTAAAATCAAAGATATGTACTTAAAATTAAAAATAAGATCGCTGGAATGTTTACATAAACTACAGAAGTGTTAATAATTCATAATTAATATCGTGTTGCGTGCCTATTCGTCTCATTAATTATGCATCGGGTTTACTTCCCGAAATTTGCAGACACAGTGAGCGAAATGACCAAGATATAAATAGATATGAACATGTGCTTTTTGTTTTCTTTCGTATTTGATAATTTAAATTAAACGTACATATTTGACACCATTTATCAAATTATGTAAACACATGAATAAGGGTTGGCTTAATATCGAATTTTTGTCTACAGACAAAAATTAAATTCAGGTGTAAAAAGTTAAAAAAGCTTCTAAATGCTAAATGGAAAGTAATCAGTGATGGTTTTATTTATACTTAATTAACTTTTGTACGAAATCCCGCATATAGATTAAAAAAATAATTTTAATGAAAATCGTAGCTACTATCCGTTTAATATATATATATATATATGTATATCAATTCGGTGACCTTTCATAAAAACATGTTTAATCTTCAAAAATGGTATAAATCCTTGGGACAGCTCATGTAGGTGGTAAACCCTTGACTAGATTACAATTAAGTCTCCCACACACAGTAAATGTTAAACCATTGATTACTCTGGTGTTTACTATCAAGCACTGTAAACTACTTCACATTTAATTTATCTCTTGTGAAATCGTGTCAAATAGTCAATTGATCAAATACCATTTCAAGTCGGGTATCAAAAGTAATCCTTTAAAATACCATAAATGGTAATAAGGTGTTTTAATTATCTGTACAATACCAAACATGGACAAAACCTTTACATTGTATATACTAATCCATAAATGGTAATATAGGTAGAAGCCAGATAAAACGCTTGTTGGTATTTCAACTTTTACATTATCCTCAAAGGTTGAAGACTAATAAACTTTTTTTCACTGTACGTATACGGTGACCTATAAATATATAGATTTGCTGAAATCTACATCATTTGGTGGACAGTTGTCTCATTGGCAATCATACCACATCTTCTTATTCATATCAAGGAAATGCAACACAGTGAACAATAGCAAAATATCACAAGACAAGTAAAGAGACAAGGCAGACAGACAACAGCAAATTCCTGTTACAAACATGTATTCATAAAAATAATCAATATCAAACATTTGCAAAATAAAACATGCTCTTTACAGAATAAAACAACTTTTCATCTGCCATTTTTCAGCAGAATATCTCAAGACTTCAAAAAAGCATTCAAGTCTTTTTAACAAAGTGAGTTTGGCTTTTATCTTCAAGCATAAACATTCATGCACTTTGTCTATCTCATATGCATCAAATGGATTTTATATTTTCTTAATATGATGGACAATACGGTTATTTCGAGCTATCATATGTGTTAAATTATATCAATTGAGAATTTAAGCACATATTTTCTACAAACTGACAAATGAAATGTGTCATTATGTTATTATTAACACTTCTTTAAACATCTATTAAACATCCAAAATTGAAAAAAGTTTTTGGGGGGATTTCTTGTATACAGAGAAACTAAAACAAGCAATTCTTTGATAACCTTGGAAACTTGAAATTTTGAAATTTAACATCCAGAAAAACCAATTTTTGTTGTCAAAACTCAAGAGATAGTCTTTTCTGATAAGACTCTTCAATCTGGGTAAATAAAACAGTTAACATTGCATGCTGATGTGATAATGTCTCACTCTCAGAAGGAACACTGAACTTTATCACTGTAAATTTTCAATTTCAATTTTAATTTTTTTTTTACCAAAAAGACAGTAAACTGCCAATATTCAATAAAAAAATGCAGGCTAAATATAACTAATTATTCGTGACAAGGTAACCTTCAATTTATAACTAACAACATATCATTCAAGAACAATGTCATGCCAACCTTGTATAAACTGACATAAATTCTAACACATAAATGTATATATACAAAGATTTTCTTGAGGAGACTCTTATACATTGCATGTTTGGCGTCACAAAGGAAATGTTCTGTTTCCTTTACGTACATTTCCTCTTAAGGTAGAGAGAAATAAACATTTCCCTTTTATATGTAATGGTTCATTCTGAAGGAAACATTGACACTTAGCATTTTTGTTGTATACTATATTGTTATTATCATAACTTAAAATCAGAAAATAAACAGTTTTTAATAACACAGTATTATAGATTTAATAGTAGTTGTATTTTTATGTTTTTTTTTGTAATTCTATGTTTTAACTTCAACAGTGGGTGTTTTCACAAAAGGATAATCCCTTTTTGGATTCTGTGTCAGGAGCGATTTCTGAGGACAGCCAAATCAGCAAATTGTTCCAAACACAGATCCTAAAAGAGATTAACAAAAAGATACTCCTCCTAACTTAGCAATACTATTTTAGTATATTGATGTAAGTAAATTCAATTATCTCCCCTTAATATGTTAGACTAGGATTATGCTTTATTTAGCCTGATTGGGGTTAATAATTTACACCAAGATATCATGGTTATTGCAAAATGATACATTTCAATAATCTAGGAGGGGGTATTTTAGCAACTTAACCTTATGTTATGGTAACGCATGGTAGATGTAAGATATCGAGTTACATTAAATGATATCTTGGTATGAATTTCCTTAGGTACATCCTCAGGTTGTGTTCTACAAATATGTGAAGTTTTATTAAATAATAATATCTGTCTTACTGTTTAGAAGACTCTAGACAAACAACATAGAACACCATTCTCTCCAACATTATCAAAATAATAAAAACTTTTGGTTACCTAACCAAACTTAAAGAATTGGGTCCTTTGGTCCTGAAAATCAAATTTTGCAAAATTGGACTAAAGAAGCAGTTGTGGTGGTTCAAATAATTCTAATTCAGTCTAATTAAAACCTTTATGTATCTTAAAATAAAACACATTTTATATCTCTCAAGTTGGAAAATTTCAACATTTGATAAAAACATCTATTTTTTATAGTCAATTATTCTTTTTGGCAAACACTGACTGCAAATTCTGACCGAACAAATACATGTACATTTTTATGGACAAAAGATGTACATGTAATAAATAAAAATATGTCTGAGGACACGAATGCCCCTGCTCAAGTTTTGCAAATTTCCAAGTTAAAAAGGGTCATAACTCTAGAACAATAAATGACTCACTGCCCAAATTCCAACTCTCTCTGTATGCTGTAGTTCTTAACATTGTTAATGAGTTTCATAAAATTTGGATGAGACAAACTTAAGTTAGAGTGTGGAAACTGAAAAACTTGCAAGGGGTATAATTCTAGAATGGTTAATGACATTCTGCCAAAATTTAAACTCTGTCTGAGTGTTGTGGTTCTTAGCATTGTGTATGAGTTTCATACAATTTGGGTGAGAAACAAAATAATATGCAATTTTCTAACTCTAGAACGGTAAGTGACTCACTGCCCAAATTCGAACTCGTCTGCTAGTTTTGGTTCTTAGCATTGTGTATGAGTTTCATTAAATTTGGATGAGGAAAACTTAAGTTAGAGTACTGAAACGGAAAAAATATGGGAAGGATGGAAAGACATAAGGACGGAACCAAAGATGGAAGGACAGACCATCAAGGGTAACACTTAAAAGGTTAAAAAAATCAATTTGATCAGAGCATGCAGCCAATGTTTCTATACTCAATAGCTATTCAAAAGTATTCTTTAAGTGGTTGTAAAGCAAGGGCTAGTAAAATTACTATCGTGACTGAAAGACTTTCTCCTACAGGCCAATAGAATTTATACAAAATTACTATCGTGACTGAAAGACTTGCTCCTACAGGACGTTAGAATTTATACAAAATTACTATCGTGACTGAAAGACTTGCTCCTACAGGACAATAGAATTTATACAAAATTTCCAAAATAAATTGGTGATAGGCCTGCAATGTGGAGACTGATATCTTAAATTTCTATTTTGTCTTCTTTATGAACTAATGTTAAAACTTACACTGGACTTTTGGGAGGCTCCAAGTTTGGGTTAAGGATTTTTAGTCCAGGTGGCACCTTCAGTTTCCTTCCACCTCTTCCTGAAAATGAAAATAATACAAATTGTGGATTTAAGCTTCCAGAATACTTGGAATAAAACTTATAAGATTAACATTCACCCTGTTTTCTACAATTTTACATTTCCAACCACATAGAGGCTGCAGCATAGTGTTATCTACGTAGCCATTCTGTACTTCATGGTTTCCAACAGTTTTCCAGACCTATTTTCATTCTGCCTGTAGATAATGAGCAGATTATAAGTTTTTAATATAACTCATATATAAGTGTTTAGTGGTGAGTTAAACATCAAGTCTGTGTTTCCTTTTGCATGATTAAAAATAATTTATTTATCTGCCATTTCCTCTAACATTTTTCAGTTTTGGTCTTTTTTTTAAAATATCTGTGGTCACAAAATTTTGATATATACATGTTAATAAATTTTGTGTTATGTGTAGGAGTAGAATGTACATACAACTATATATCCTTCTGACATCTTAAACTATCAAAAATAATATCAATCTACTTTTTTCCCGCTTATACTTGGTAGGGCAAATGACAGTACACTTTTTAAATGTTTGCTAACTGTCAAGACATCTGTAAAAGAGGTTTTTGTAAACAATATTTAAAAGACAATGAACTCCTTTGATAGTGTTTTTGTCAGGTTGTAATAAGTGGAATGCACTCAATGCACTGATAACACATTACATGATGACCTTTAAATATCTGTTGGGTTTTATTGTGTTGTTGTTTGGCTGTCTAATTAACATTCATTTCTTCATATATATATATTGATTGATTTGTAAGTAATCCTATTTATAAGTAAGTTTTTTTATTAGCTTCCAAAAAAATCAAAAAATCAAAAACACAATGGATTTTATTGACAGATTATTAGTGTGACTAATTATCATATTTATGAAAGCAACAATATATTTAAAACTACATTCATCATCAACATAAATACACTCAAGGACAGTCAAACATCGAGTGTTTTTATGAGGTAACCAACTTTCTACTGATTCCAACAGTGCATCATGAATCACATGTGATGACACATCTACAAGACCTTGAATTTCCAATTTACTGGTCATCCCTACAGTAGCATATATCACAACATGACTGAAGCTATTTTTAGAAATGATCAAATCTCAGGTTATATTATCTACCTTTTGCCATAATTGACCTAGTCATTCAGTATAAGCAAGTACCAGGATCCAAAATCTAGGTCAAATACTGATTAGTTTGTGAACTCTTCTTTTGTGTGTCATTTACGTTAGTAAAGACTTCCACTAACAAACAAACAACTTGTTTTCCTGTTGTTAAGATTTCCTGTACTTGAAAACATCAATTGATCTTTGTACCTATTATTATGGCTCTATAGGCATGTTAAAAAGACTTATTTTCTTAAATTCCCCTCCATTTTCCTGGTTCAAAGATCAGGTATATATTGTATTTAATAATACAGACCAACAGGAGAGCTTAAACTTTGCAGGGGACTCATTACACTGGAAATACATCAAATTGAAATGGTTATTTTGTTATTTATTTACATTTTAAAACTTTGGAAAATTGTTACATCTATCTATCTATTCTTTGTACAGAATTTTGCATCAGACCCATAAAAAACCCTGATCCAATTGGTTCTTAACTGACTACTGGTTTCCTTGAACTTTTGTTAAATGATTTCTGAAAATTACAACAAGGTATATGAATGTAAATTTCTTCCTAGATGTAATGGCACTTCTCCAATACCAAGAAGAATATATATACAGGCATATTAGTTTCATACTATAAAGTGGGAAATTCGGAATTACAATAAAAATTGCCAAAACATTACCTGGCAATAAAATATTATCTTTCAGGAAGAACAGAATCAACATGATCAAGGACATTTAGTAATATGCACAAAAATAAATCCTAGCCAATAGCTTTGGCCCTAGAAATCCCCAAATTTAAAAGTTATGGAAATAAACCTTCTCAAAGTATCTATAAAATAGCATCCTTAAATTGAACCAGTCAAACCAACTTCAAAATGCAAAGATAGATCTAATGTAGTGTGCAATTTAACACATAATGCAATACATCAGCAATGCAGAGACACCACTTATTCTTTTTCTCCAGTCTTTCCACAAATTTTTTAGCATATATCACAAGTATTATTTTCATGTGGATACAACACTTCTTAGTACAGACTACAGTTTTTGCAACTTCCTTTCTATGAAGACTAAATAATGAAGCAGTATTTTACAATTAAAGGAGATACCACCTGCTACAACCTACCCAATACACGTAACACCCTTAACTGGGTAATTATTCTTTTAATTTTCATCAGAGCATATGACTGAAGTATAAAGGATTTCATTTTACAAGACATTCAAACTGGAAATTTTCTGCATTTGAAAATACATGCAGTTATCTGGATATATGTTTTTTAATATGGAAAAACAGCACAAATTCTCCCCAAATATTAGCAAATATAAATATTGAATTGTTTAAAATAATGCACATATCATGCGAAAAAACTTACAAGCCTCCAAAGTTACAATTGAACATTATATATACATTGTAGTACAAATTTTGAAGCTGTATTGCTTTAACCTTTAATCAAACGTCATACATAAATTAATTTATAAGCCTGTTTATTTCAGACTACACATACTTGTATTACTGCATAATGTAATGTTTACATGTACAATATAAGTAAGTAGTTTGTGGCCTTTCAAAATATCAAGCCATAAATTTTTTTCACACACATCTCATCATTACATATGGAGTGCTAAGAAATGCCACTAATTCAATTTCGACATATTGGAGAAAATTCTCCCAACAAAAAAAATTTCCAAAATCTATGTAATGTGAGATTAAACTAACACTTATTATGAATAATAGGAACCAATTATGCATGACCTCAATTAAGTAATTGATTTCTTACCTTTGTTGTTCACCTGTGTAGGAGAAACCCCTCCCATAGTACCAGGTACATTCACCTGAATGGGATTAGCCATCATTTTGAAAACACTTTCTCTCCAATGTCAATTTCTGATACACAATTCACAATGAATAATACACTTGCAGATGCAGATATTGCACAATGGATGAAATAAGAAATCTGGTAGAGAGCAAGCCCCAGGGATTTTGTTTTCCTGTTGTTTTCTCGGAATTCCAAGTAAACTACTACTAATCACTAGCAAATATTGCCAAGATTCACACAAACATGAATCATCTGTCCTGATTGGCTGGACAAAAACAGGTCAATATTTAGTTCATAGGTAATTCATTCATACAAATGTGACTCAGTATCAACTGATTGTAGCCCATTGGATAAAGGCAAATCATGAATAGTTATGAGGGAATACCCTGACAGCATGTTATACCTTTTGTCAAGTCGTGACTAAGCTATTTACAGAACACTATATATATAATCTACCATCAAACACAAATTAAAAGGTATTCAAAAAGATGTCACAGAAAGCTGAATACATATATATACATTGTAGATTATTATCCAACAAAAAATATTTTGTCAACTCTAGTCTGTAACAATTTACCATTGGGTTTTTGAAAAATTAATTCAGGTACATGTATTTGTGATACAGTAATAAAAAAATTAGTTTAAACATTGGATAAAACTAAAATTTATTAAATACATTTTCCTCACATGCATTTAAAATCAAGAATATTTGCTAAAATTACTGCAAAAAGGAAAACAAAAATTTTCCAAACATTCATAATTAAAACTGCTGGAATTTATAATGATTTTCAATAAATTGCTATAAAGAAAGGATGGACTTTTTTAACATGAAACATTTCATTTCCTTTGAAAATTTTCATTAGAGTAATTTACTAATAGCAGGATTCCTAAGAATTTTTAATTCATTTTCTAAAAGGTCAATCAGAAAGACAATAGCTCTTCATAATATCCCCTCTTCCCTCTTGTTCTATTTTTCTTGAGCAATATATATTAAAGGAGATGTGGGCTTTACATACTTTTTTCTTGCACACAAAACCCCAAGGGTTGATTTGGGTATAGAAATACGGTCATTCCTTGATCTTCTTCCGACCTATAGTAAAACCCTTACTAAAGTGGGGCATTTAGAGACATGAAATATGATGCCTTGTGAAGAGAGAGCCACACTGACTCTCTGCACGTTTAGAACCCTTGCAACAACTTTGAGGGGTTGCAAGGCTAAATTTCTGCTCCTATCCAAAATACCTTCCTTTTCCAGTGGCATTCCAAACAAAATTCTGTTCTTAAGGTTTTTTTTTCATTTGGAAAAGTGTGGGAAACAAACAATTTAAATTTGGGCCTAAAAGTGAAATTTCATACATCCTTCAAACAATAACAAGTTAAGACATGTTAACTAATGTAGATGATGGGAATTTTGTAGGTAGCAGTTATGGCATAACAGTAAATAGGAATTATGTGGGCAGAGGTTATGTCACAACAATAAACTCAACAGGGGAGCATCTCATTCAATGTCAAAAGCTGGTTCATCTGTTTCATAGCATTCTTTTAAATCAAGCAATAAATCTTTCTTTTGCACAGCATTATAAATGGGAAATTGTGTCATGATAACACTTTTCCCAATATAAATATAGCCTCCCACACTTCCCACTCATAATTTACATGATGAGGAAGGAAACAATGGCTTTTTAACATGTAGAAAGTTCTTATGAACATTTGTATTTGAATATTTAATATCTTATATATGCAGAGATACAAAGACCTCTGAGTGAAAGAGATGACACACTAAAATGTCTGGCCTGCAGAAATATTTAATTATTTTAATAGAAATTAATTCTTTTAAGTTTTAAATAGGTCAGGGTCAAAAGAAACCGACCAGGCATACATGTTATAATTATATATGAATGAACATACATGTGTACAAAATATTAATAAACTGTTATCACAGAGATATGTCTCACCTTTTTGTAATTTTGATAATGCAAATGTTGAAATCAAAATAGCAATACTTTAACATGTAAGTTATGCAAATATTCAAAGTCGATGAACCATGACTGAAGGTACATGGCTAAACAATCTCCATGGAATGAGATGTGCCAATGCTAATACAACTGCATACCAAATACCATTGACTTATATAATTATAAGTCGTTCCCTTTAAACAAACCTAAACACAAACATTAACTTGTAAACTATGTAAAAGTTTCAAAGTCAATGAACCATGATCAGGGGTGGGGCTATATAATCTCCATGGAAATGAAACTTGCAAATGCCAATACATTTGCATACTGAATATCATGGACTTACAATGTGGTTCATCTTAAACTGACCTAATCACAAACTAATACATGTAAACTAAGCAAAAGTTTCAAAGTCAATAAACCATGACTGAGGGGTAAGGACCAAATATTCTCCATGGAAATGAGATGTGCTAATGCTTATACAACTGCATACCAATTATCATTGACCTACCACTAACAGTTCCCCTTAAACTGACCTAATCACAAACTAATACATAAAAACTAAGCAAAAGTTTCAAAGTCAATAGACCATGAATGAGGGGGCAAGGCCAAATAATCTCCATGGAAATGAGATGTGCCAATGCTAATACAACTGCATACCAAATATCATTGACCTACCACTAGTGGTTCCCCATAAACTGACCTAATCACAAACTAATACATGTTAACTAAGCAAAGTTTTAAAGTCAATAGACCTTGACTGAGGGGGCGGAGCCAAATAATCTCCATGGTAATGAGATGTGCCAATGCTTATACAACTGCATACAAAAGCAAATATCATTGACCTACCACTAGTGGTTCCCCATAAACTGACCTAATCACAAACTAATCCATGTAAACTAAGCAAAGTTTCAAAGTCAATAGACCTTGACTGAGGGGGCGGGGCCAAATAATCTCCATGGTAATGAGATGTGCCAATGCTAATACAACTGCATACCAAATATCATTGACCTACCACTAGTGGTTCACCATGAACTAGACCTAATCACAAACTAATACATTGTTGACGCCGCCGCCGCCGGAAACAGCATACAAATGTACCTATGTCTAGCTTTTTGACTCCGTCAAGGCAAGACAAAACTTGTCCAAAACATAGCTGATATAAACCTATGATATAAGTTTCATAAAAATCAAGCAAGAATTGAACACTTGACAACACTAACAATGTAATTTTCCATATCATTAATATTTCCGAGGGCATAACTCTTTAAAAAATTGTTGATCAGCACTGATTTTCCATCTTGTCTGTAAACATTACCTATGATATAAGTTTTATAAAAATCTGGCAAGAATTGTAATGTTAGAGCACTAACAAGACAGGACAGACATATGGACAGACGTCTGATATTTCTATGTCCCCCGCAATATGTGGCACAGAGGACAACAACAGATAGCAGCACCTAAATATTGACAAGAGGGGATCTCTATATCTCACTTCTGTTGCAAGCCAATTAGACGCGGCATAGAGATCCCGGGTTCAGTCTGTGGTTCAAACTTTTTTATACATCAATAACTTCATAATAAGTTATGTCAACAAAAATGATACCAAACTCAGAGAAACACTTTTCCAGTCATCCAGTCTTTTTCTTGTACTGAATACACATCAATGAAATATAATATTTGTCCCTGGACAATAACACATCAACGAACTATCATATTTTCCCCTGGACATTAACACACTGTCCAAAAATAAATCAATTGATAAAAACTTGTAAAATTTCAGCATTTCTTCACTTCACACAGACAAAGTCATACCAAAGTTAAAACCACAACTGGGGATAATAACAAAAATAGTCAATATGTAAAGCTAAATTACTGCATTTAATTCTATTTTTAACATGCATATTTTGGTGATTTTAATGCTTCAACTTTGTTTGTGGGGGTAAAATTGATGCATCAACAATTAGTTTGCCTTTCACATCAATATTATAGCTTTCTATATATAGCTACAAACCATTCACAAGGGTGATATATTTAACATGAGTATATATTTTATTTACCATTTCAAAGTCTTGTTCTTCCATTTATCATGATTTGAGACATGTATTATCTCCAAGTGGTACTGTTTACATGTCATAACTTAAACCTAGACTAATGTACATGAACAGTGGTCTTCAAATATGCTACATTTGTACATTGCATTTCTAATTTTTTATAGTCTGTCTTAACAACTTATCAAATTTGTGTCATTTAAAAATTAACAAGTTGGGTCTATAATTATAAGATAACAAACAGCCTTCTCATAAAACAAAATCATGTAAAAGGGTTTATATAAATTGGTGGAATACCAGGTATTTTATCCTTTCCCCAGTTTGTGTCTATAGGATGGCTAATCAGTTGTGCCTTAAAAATCTAAAGAAAAATTTTAAATGTATGTTCAACTTATAAACAATTTAACTCCATACAGCAAATGCTTTTTATTGGAACAGAGAAAAACAACTGCATATACATTGAACCTGTTGAATAAGTTATATATATAATAGAAAAACAAAGGATATATATATAATTATATATATAATAGAACGCCTTTTACAAGTTGAAGTATTTAATGCACAGAAGTGTAGCTTTATATGCATTAAATATGTTAATGAGTAAGGAGTGGCTATACACAATTTGTAGTATTAATCATGTTTAATCATTGTTAATGGGAGATGACATATATGTCAGACCAATGAAACTTAACTTTCATGAATTAAATATGTCAATCAAACAGTGGCATGCTTTCTATGCTATGCATTATTTTCATAAAATGAACACTTGAAGAAGTGTTTTCAGTAGGATTTGTATTTCAGATACATGTGATATCCTGAATGAATTGTTGCCATGGGATTTATATTAAGATTAACAGAACCAAGAGATTTATGCGTTATTGAATAGTGTTCCCTTAAGTTTCTGAAAATTCTTGAGGGGGGTAAATGCTAAATTTTATTAAACGTATACCTGCTTCCAAAGCACAAACAGGAAGTGTAGTTTTAGAGGAGTTAAACCTTGTGATAAGAAGGAAACATTGTTATAAAGGGGCATTATAGCTGTCAAATTCATGATTACAGATTTGACTTAAATTCTCGTATTTGATTTACATGTAGAATATACTTAAACGTACATCCAAATTACAAAAAGTTCAAAAGAAACAATTAAACATTGCATGGACTTGTTATAAATATAATGTACATCATCAGCATTTCATGTATATATACCTAAGACTAGAAACCATCTACCGTAATTAACCGTCAAGATGACCTCAGCAGACT